CAAAAAGCTCTACTTCACTGGTACATACTTTATTTACGAGCTGTCTAGCATGTAAAGCTCAGTGGCTGAGTGTACCGCGTTCTCTTATCATATGAGCACACACACACACCACTGAGCTGAGCATTTCTTAGTATTTTTTTTTTATTTTATTTTTATTCTTCCCAGGGTCTTCATGTCTGTACTTCTCTCTCACTGTTTATTACTTCATCAACGTGTCTGGAATTTCATGAAGCCACTGCAAACACAAAGATCGGTTTACTTTTGCTAGTTCAGTACGTTTCTGTCTGTAGACATCATTCTTGCATTGATGTTGTGAGTAGTCAGCTGCCATCAATATAGCTACAGGCCTATTAAATTTTATTGCTGTTATTTCAGTGCATGTTTTTAAACTTGCATTATCAGCTATTGTTCGATGCCTGTGAAGCATTCAGGAAATTCTTTGCTGCCATTAATGACTTCCAATGTGCATCTCTCAGCTCAGCCTGGTGTTAAATTGCGTGGACATCAGCACAAGCCAGACTTTATTAATCCCCACTGAAAGAGTCTCTGATTAGTTAAGTTAAGATGTTCGGAATGAGCGGGAATACAAAGTTGTGCTTAATTAAGCAGGACTTTTACTGATGAGTCTCACTTCTGTGAAATACCAAGCAACAGAAATGGCTTCCTCATTGCCCGGTTTTTATTCTCACCTCCACCCTCCCTTTATCCCATTACATCCTCCTCACTGTCAGGCTAAATTGTGGAGGTGGCAGGGTGAGCCCATCCCTTTCCCCTATTGTCTGTCAGGTCATGGTTCATCTTGACCCGTCCTAAAGACTGGAGAAGGATCATACCCTATTTTTTATAAGGAGGGTATGAGTAAGTGCTTTACTGTATTTCTGTTTCACTGTGTAGCTGGTGAAATAATGTGTGCTTCTCAAATATTTATGGAGTGCCCCGGGTTGTGGCTTTCTCACAGTTCCTCAGACATGGATTCTTCAGTGGTCACGCTCGGGGGAAAAAATAGTGCCACAGATTATCTTCTGGATGGTCATATTAGCTTTTCTTGTGGTCAATGCAGATTTAAAACTATCTGATCTCTCTCTTGTAGTAACCATAACTACAGTATGCAAAGCACAGGGGTTAATTCAGTAATAATGCTGTAATTCTGTGCACACATGTAAATTGCCTAAACATTGCTATGGGGTGTATTCCATTTGTGACTGCATGTATAGGATGTAGATGTGGTTAGTCTTCCATCAGTGAACTTATTTTCAAACATGGTTCTGGTGGTGAAAGCATGACCTGAGACACCGTCAGCTTATCCTGGGGATTCCCAAAGCTCTGTCTGCCCCCGAGTCTCCACCCAGCCAGCCACTGACTTTACATACTGTACTGTACTGTACTTGTAAGGTGCTGACAAGGTATGTGCACTGCCTCTATTCACTGCAGCAGTGATTTAAGATCAAAATCACAGGTGAAAACTTTATTTCAGCTCCCTTTTACTGGAAATTACTACCCAGATCTCTAGCCAAAGCTTATGGTTGAAAAGAAGACTAACCAATAAGTCAAGAGCTTTGTTTTTTTGTGGGTTTTTTTTAATCTCAATTCTCTTTTCACTGGCAGTACTGGAACCGATTGCATATACTTGCACTCCTCTACTTTGGCAGGTGCTTGCACCTCAAACAAAATGTTCTGTTGTCTTTCCTGAACAGACAGAGATTTGCTGAGGACTTAGGTCATGTAGAGACATAGAACATCACTGGGGGGAAAAAATGCACCTTCATTATTCATTGGAATGAGACCACTGTGTTAGTACAACTAGTGTGGACCCATAGGGTGCAGGCTCAGTGTTTTGCCTCAACACACACACTCAGCAAGGCGCTGCATTAACTAATCAAATACATGCAAGCATATTCCTGATTGATAGCTCTGTAACACGAGTGCTATATTTCTAGTCACAGTCACCACAGTGAAAGATAATGTAATTATTGCTGTAATAACTTTCAAGAGTGGTTCAGTTATTCTTAGACAATCCTTTCTAAACTATCTGATAAACCTTTAAACTGAGATGTTTTACTCTGATGGACTTCCTGGACAGTACGCCATGGTCTTACTGGTACCTACTGTAAAACAACACAGCCCTACCAATATGGCTCCTTGCCTTGTTCTAACACAGACTGTATCCTGGTTACAGGTGCTGATCCTTAATCAGATATTGCTGCACCACAACATCAAAAAATAAAACATGTGGAAGGGACACAAATAAGTTCATTGTTCCAGGGCTGTGTTTACCATCTGCTTGAAGTGCCTGTAGTAGCTTGAGCTTGACAATTGCCAGTTATCTCAGCATCAACTTAAGATAACTGGTTGGCAGCTTGTCACGATGAATGAGGCCCTGTGGTATTAACCAGCAGGAGGAAGTGGACTAGATTGTATACAATATATAAATAGTTGTGCATTTTTCAAATTCTAGCGCAGATTCTTTAAAACATGTTTTGTTTCGACACTGCAGTCTTTAGTGATGACAAACAGAAACTAGAACCACTGATCAGCCCCAGTTCGTGTACATCACAACAGCCCACTTAATGGTCTCCTTCAGAAATTACAATGTGTGTGTATGTGTTTATGTTGTGTACTTCAGCAAGCCCTGAGTCACCATGCCCTTTGATTCAGCATGTGTCATCACTGCTTCTGGCACCATCTGCACACGCTGCTTCTTTTTCCTTCTTCACATCCAATCATCTATCCATCTGTAGGTTCGAGGTAATTTATATGCAGCAGATTAAAAAAAAAAGATTTGACAACTTCCATTAAATGGTTGAATGCCGTGGTTGAAGACTGTGCTGGAAATGTAGCTATTTAATAGAAAATATATAGCGCTTTTCTACACATTGACATGCACTCATAGCTTTACACTATTTCCCCTTTCATCCATTTGTGCACACATTCTCTCACACTGGCGATATCACTGGGATCAGCTTGGGGTTCTTGCTCACTTGGATGTAGACTGGAGAAGCTCTACCTCCTGAGCCACAGTCGCCCCAGTGATACTTGTAGTGGTAATAGTACAGGGGAAGACGCATATGTCTGGTTGTAAATTTGAACTGCTTGACCAGGATGCCACAGTGAGTGAACACAACCTGTGAACATTCACATCTGAAAGAAAACATCATCGCTATGTTCCCTATTGGCCTCCCCACAGTGTCCTGTCATCACCCTCTCACTGTGTGTTGTGGTATGTGGTGGATCCAGAAAGGGCACTGCTTGGTTTAGCTTGGTAATGTCCTTCTCCTCCACTTCACTCACTCACTCTCTCTCTCTCTCTCTCTCTCTCTCTCTCTCTCTCTCTCTCTCTCTCTCTCTCGCTCTCTCTCTCTCTCTCTCGATCTTTCTCTTAGCAAGCTGTCACTGCACAAACACACAGAGTGGATGTGGCGCCAGTGTTTCTTTTATAAGTAGGGTAAGAAGGAGGGGACATGAAGTTTATCGCACTGTAATTGGCCAGTGAAGTTGTTACCATGGTGATGTTAATAGGTCAGTGCCCACCCACCCACCACACACACACACACACACACACATGCACAATGCAGTGTGTGCATATAGGTCTTAAACTATGCTTCAAGTTGGAACCTGGAGGTGCTGTGCCCGTCACTCTGCATTGTCCGCCTGCTGGGTGCATGTCCAAGCGTGACTATAGGCTTTGTGGCCTTAGGGTCAAGCTTAGGTTGCAGTGGTGCCATTTGGGCTGCAGGAGCCGTCACGTCTGGGAGAGTGTGTTCCCCACAGCCAAATGGGTCAGGACCGCTGAGTCTCATTCACTGAGCTGGAAAAGTACCCACCCACAAGCAAGCAGGGTACAGGTAGCACAGAGTGACTAATTAAAAAGTATGACAAAACTATTACTAAACAGTATTACATAAAACATGTAGGTAAGTGAAAGTCACTGCTCCAATAACTTATTGTGACTTATTAAATATGAATATATGCATGTTGTATCGTTTTAGAGGTGTCTTCAGAGATGGAGGTTACAATAAAGCTCTCCATATTACTCCCAATGGAGCGCTACTGTAATGCTTTCAGTGGATAGTGGTCTAGTATAATAACCACTTAGTGTCCAGTGTTTCATTGATTGAGGTCAAGTCCCTTAACTATTTATTGTTCTAATGGTACAGGTGGACAAGTGTTTGATTAACAATGAATGCAGTTGGTCTTGATGTGAAAATCAATGTAGCTGGTTATTCTCTACAAGATGGATCAAATTATTGATGAAATAAAAAATATCAAAGGGCTAAGGATAGGATAGTTTATGGAATTAGGCTTTTGTCAGTGAGGTCTTTACAGGTATAGAAATATGGGGTCATGATGGATTTAGTGAGTTTTGTGTCTCTGTACATTTGTGTTTCTAACGTCTCCTGTGGTTCTTTCAACCTTTCTGCTCTCCCTCGCTCTTTCTTACCTACCATCTTTCAACCTGTGCTGGCAGAAGTTTTAAATCTTATTGTATGGATCCAAACAGTGGGATCTGACCCTTTGTTCTGTCCTTAGCTAATGCTGATGAACTGTGATGTGTGGGATGCACATACTGTGTGCATCACACACGTCACAATGGGCTTTCTATTTGTTGGTCAAACACTCAAATGAAACATTACAGTTGAATGAATGCTTTTTTTTTTAATCCATTGCAATCAAACATAATTTTATTGTGTACATGTGTGGTTTCAAACTTTTTCAGAGTGCATAGTAACTACTGTAATTAGTCTGCAGGGGCCTGCTTCCTATTTAAGACTCACACAATCTGTAGATGTGAAAAGGAGAAATACAAAAAGAAAAGGAGAATACAAATGATGTCACATGCTTCTTTCATCAAGCTGCCAATAAAACAGTAACAAATTATCTGTGCATATATTCACATACAAATCATCTTTATCTGTATTTGGATTTTAATTTCCTGTATGTTTTTTCTGTTTGTCTGATTGGTTCCACCCTTTTGGAACTGTCAATATCTTGCTATTTTGCAGATGGGGCTCCCCTGAGCGAGCTATCGTGGCCTTCATCTCTCGCGGTGGTAGCCGTCTCCTTCTCTGGCCTCTTCACCTTCGTCTTCCTCATGCTGGCCTGCCTCTGCTGCAAGAAGGGAGACATAGGCTTCAAGGTGAGCTCAATGCTTTCCCCTAGTGGAAGTGGTGAGAAGAGCACAAACTGTTGGACTACAGTATGTGCACAGATGCCACAGTGAGGAAGGGAATGTGAATGTCTGCAAGTTACTTATGAAAAATGGGATAACGTTAGACAAAAAGTCTTGTGGGATGCACATTGAATTTAATTTGAAAAGTAATAATGTAGGGCTGCAATTAACAATTTCCACCACTGGTTAATGTGCAGCTTACCATCTTGATGAATTGTTTTGTGTTTAAAATGTCACAAAACTATAAGAAATGATTGTTTTTAATTAAGGTGACATATTTAAATGTCTTGTTGTCTGATCAACAGTCCAAAATCCAAAGTGATTCTGTTCGAGAGGCAGAAACCAGCAACTGTTTGACATTTATCCTTTAAAAGTTACTTAAATCAGAATAGATGCCAATTATTTTGCTGTTGACTGAATAATTGAATGAATAACCAATGCACCCGGCTTGTTAGAGGAAACACTTACTGTGCAATTATTTTGTGTTAGAGCTGATACTCGGGGATAAATACTCCATAATCTATACATACTGTAGATAGTGAGGTCTTATGCTGACAATTGCCCCATTGTGTGTAAGTGATGTAGTCTAATACTTTTACCCATCCTGGACTGGCACACATTGCCTCTGTGCTGCCTACAGCTGCCAGCATGACTGAGCATGCTGTGTCAAACCTCAGCACTGAACTGAGCAGCTGATGAGGACCAACAGAGTCATTAACATGCTGCTCATGTTATGGCATTGGCACTGGAGCGTATTTTCAATTTGCCCATGAATTTTAATGTTACTAATTCTTTTTAGCCGGAGAATGGATAAATTACAGTCTCGACTTAGCGGTGGAGTATTCAGTTAAGATCACTTATGCAGATTAATTAGAGGGGAGGAAAACCATGTTTGGCTTTTTGTTGTTGATTAGAGAGTAGACCAGCTTGTTTATGTATGTGTGGAGAATGAGATCTGTGCTTCACTGTTCATACTGATAATGACCTGCAGTACTGTAGGTAGATGCTGCAGGGATAACACTAACGAGCACAGCATAGAGAGGCACCATTAACAACTCCTGGACTTTTCTTCTGTGTGTGCATGTGTGTGAGCCCATGTCTGTCTGTCAGGCTCTGCCTCATTATGTGAAGGTGTATTATAATAACCTTCAAGAATAGCAGAGGTGTAGGTCTGTGTCCGCTTTCCTCCCGCCTGTATTTTAATGCAAGAAGAATAATGGTAGGAGGTTTGCTCCAGCTGCTAAAACAGCACTTCAGTAATTCATTTTGTCAACCGCAGCCTTATCGTGGTTGACACATCAATATAACGCTATTGTCTTACAGCACCATGTTATCAGAGAGTGAAAGTTTACAAACAAAACTTCTCTCAAGCTGGAAAAGCACTTCAGCAGGGCAGTTGGAACCACTGAGAGTAGGAGCATGGTGTTTTAGCACATACGCTAGTTTTATTTTATTATAGACATATAGGTTAAGAGATGAGTCTAGTTTTACAAAATAATTATTGAGACTCTCCCTCTTGAAAGGGAACTCTAAAAGGCACAGGTTTCCTTTACAGATGTTGTTTCTGTGTCTCAAGCCATCTTCATGGTAAGGGTAACACAACTTTCAGGCAGTTTGAATGCAAAATATTTAAAAACCAGTAAGAGATTATGACTTTAGCAAATAAAATACAATATATGCTGGTTTTCTTGATCACAGCTCATTGTAGTTCTACAAAAGAGAAGCTGGTGTACTGGTTTATATTCATATTTTATTTATTTATTTATTTATTTTTTTGGCTCTCTTAGTCTTAGAGCAAATGTTACACAAATGGTTCCCACTCTTTATCCTGGTCTTTGGCAGCAGGTTGTCACTCAGTAGCTCACTTGTAATGTGTGCTTTCATGTGGGACTGTAAGATTGCATCTTTGTACTGTCCAAAAAGCTTCATTATTCCTCTCCATCTTGGAGCTCTTACTGGAGTATAGTATGAGGCTGGGTATTAAGTGCTTTCTAATCTGAAGACTCTCTTGGGAGCTATGCAACACTGACTCACAGCCAGGTGTGCGCTTTCACATTTCGTTCTGGGGAGAGTGGCAGATGGTTTTCCTGAATGAGAAACACACACACACACACACACACACACGCACGCACGCACGCACACACACACACACACACACATGCCCCTGTACACACATTGCTGTTTTATGACACATGTAAATGCACACAAACACCCCAAACCATTCAAGTATTTTATATTAATCCAGCCTGTAACCCATTCGTTCACTGTCCTCCTTCCTTATTTTAGCCTGTTTCCTCTTCACTTTTTATTTTTTCCTTACCTGTGTAGTTGATGCAAGTGGGAGATAGGCTTGTTATGGGTAATAGTTCATTAGCCAGGGAATGGATGGATGGATGAATACAGCCAGTCTGATTTCCACAGTCTAAGAAACTGCTAACAAGATTGATTGTGGTAGGACATGTTTGACTTGAAGACCTCCGCTCAAGAGATTTTTCACGTTACACTAAAACATAAAAAAGATGCCAAAAAGGAAATATTAAATAATTTATACTGAGGGCAGTGCTGTGTAATCTTAGTCACAGTAGGTCTCTATACAGTTTGTATGTTTGCTTCACTCACTCATTCATGTTGTGTTAATGAAGCCATATAAATACATTTTAGTTCAGTCTACTTTGTTGCTTATTAACATTGTGCCCTAGGCATTTATTATTCATTATTAATAATTTTGTAGAGGTGTGACATTTAGGTTTTATGATGTATGTCCCTGTTCTGGCTTGCTGCTGTTCACACAGGCCAGTTATTGGTGCTGTGAGTCTGTGGGAACGAGAGTGAAGCTGGTTGTTGAGTATAGATCCAGTTTCCTATTTGCCCAGAGCTGCATTTTTGTTTTTTGTTTGTTTGTTTTTTATTATTGCTGCCCAGGAATCTCTTTTATAAGGAAACATTTTTTAATTACACATATTCATACAACATTATTTATTTATTTTTGTGCAGTAGCATTAAAGTAAAATGTCAGATGCAGCCCTATCGGTGTGTTGTTTCCATTGTTAGAGGCACAGACACAGCAGCATGCGTGTTTGGTTTTTTCCCCAATAAATGAATAGAGTTTGTTGAGAATTCTCAGCAAATACTGAATGTGAATCTATGGGATTCAACCATACTCAGTGATTGGTTAATTGTTTTGAAGGTACACTGGGACCAGAGCTGCTGAGCAAAGGTTGCACTGCTCCCAAACAGACTTAAAGAATTAAAGGAACGTAATTAAAAAATATATATATATGTAAAGATAATGCAACTGTACGGACTTGAAGACTCTTATGAGCTCATGAAGTTGTTTAATCTTGACTCACCCTGACAGTAATTTACTTAACCTACTTTGTGATCTACATAACCTCATGCTGCAGACTATGTAATGTGTCTACTGTTTGCATACTGTTTTCTTTGGTTGTGCGTCTTCCTCTACGATGCTGTTTTGTTTTGTTTTTTTTGTAGCCTGAATATTAATCCATGTCTCTGTGTTAGAATGTCTACTGTGAGTAAGCAATGACAGATCATCAGGTTGTGAATCTATATGGGGGAAAGAATATTAGACAGGGCAATAATTTTCTCTAGTTTGTGCAAAGAATCAAACGTCTCCTTTTCCTGCTCTGCAGTATGTCACAGTGAAGTTGGTGTAGGTCATTCAGCCTACCTTTTGGTTTAGGATCAGCACTCTTTGCACATACAGTACAGTATGGGGCTTTAGAGAGAGAGATGCTATAGGTTCACACTACAGCAAGGGCACTGCAGCAGACTGAGGAGCAGAAATGGATGGGGGCTGAAAGAAGAGTAGCAGGGATAAACAGATTCATAGTGCAAAACAGAGGATGGAAAGAATGAGGGTCAGTTTTCCAGTCCCTTTCACCCTCATCCATCTTGGCATGAGTGGTGGAGAGCAGGGGGGTAAATCTGCATTTAAGGGACCAGAGTTATTTTCTCCATAGCTGATGAGAGCTGCCACTTTATCTTGCCCATTATTTAAAAGCAATGCAGACACTTAAATATAAATAACCTTTACAACATAAAGGTAGAGGATGTAACTGCATCTACTGTACATGGTTGCATATGGAGGAAACTCTAAATGGGAAGTTCTAGTCTCAAAGCCCATTTTTCTTATTATTGATCACAATCCAGAGCAGGTACTTTGTGTAATTATGCAATATTGTTGAGTAATAAGTTGCACTTTATAATACTTTAAAACTTTCAACTTGGACTCTACATGTACAGTATACTGGCAAATGTAACTGCATAGTTTAAATCATGTAGCTCAAAATAATCAGGCCAGTGGTCTCCTCTGAGATATTTTTGACATGATGTAAATGGTGATGTAATTTCCCAAATGTGCACAACAAGAGGTCCTCTGTACAAACAAAAACTGCAAAGTATAACCATGTATGTGAAGTTGTGTTGATTTATTGGCACAAAAAAGAAGGGCTTTGCATATAGTTTGAGTGGCCGTGCACATTAGTGTGCACCCCTACACCGCCTTTGCAATGACCCACACAGTACATTGCTTATGTATAGCTACAGTAGGTGGATGTGCCTCAGTACATTTGAATGGCCTCACAGTTGAGCCATTGTCTCCCACTATCTCAGTGGTGGGATGGCTGCGAGTGGGTGACTAATCTCAGCGTGTGTGTTTGCACCAGGAGTTTGACAACACTGAAGGAGAGGAGTACCAGGCAGATCTCTCCGCTCTGGCCTCGTCTTCCTCCCAGAATGGCCCCGAAGTCTACATCCTTCCCCTCACTGAGGTCTCCCTGCCTGTCTCCAAACAGCCTGGCAGATCCAGTAAGACACTACACATCCGCACATCTACTTGAACCTTGAGTTTAATTTTCTGTTTTCCTCTAACTTGCTGCTTTATTTCCTGATGCTTTTCATTGTATTTCTGCTCTCTTCTTTGCTTTTCTCTCTTTTCTACAGTGTACATATCTCAGTATTAATTCCCAGCTTCTTGGGAAGCATGAATTTCTGCCAGAAAAACAGACCATTAAAACAAGTTGTTACTTCTTAGGAGTATACAGTAACACAAATGGATTATGAAATATCTTAGTTAGTAGAGCTTTTTCTTTTAAATTGATCTTGTATTATATGTCTTGTTTTTTCTTGCCTCCCTTTCTCCCTCAACAAGGGACAGACATCTGTCCACTGTGTAATGCATTTAGAAGTCAACCTACTGCAGTACTGCATTGCTTATTGTATGTGGAGAACAGACCATCGGAGTGGAAGGAATCTGACCTAACCCAACTGTACACTATTTTGTGTTACCTTATGCAAAGATGAATCCAGTGTGACATGTTTTTCTATTTTACTTGATTCTTTCATAATCCAGAGTACTTCAGTGCAGTACTTCAGAACACATCACTGTTATGTTGTGTTTGTTTAGTATTCTATGTCCATGATCCTTCCTGCAGTGCTGTGTGACCTGTTTGTTTTTCTTCAGGTCATTCTGCTTCAAACCCAGCCTGTTAAAATGTTTATGTGCATGTATGTGTTGTGTGTGTGTGTGTATCTCATACACAAGCCCGGGTGCTCAATGTGCCTCTCCCTGCATGACTCACTGGCTGTCTGCGCTGCACTGTGCTCAGCCAGAAGGGAGGTGAGTTTGGGCTCTCCATCCTAAGATGTGTGCTCCAGTAATGATTGCACAAGGCAGCCTCAGGCTCGCAGCCAATCACTAGCCTCCTCTCTGTTCTCCATAGCTGCCGCTATATGATTGGCCCAGGTGTTGCAGGGTGAGGAATGGATAAATGGCAATAGGAGACGATCATGAAAGAGAGAGAATGTCTCATTTCACTGAGTTCCGTGACTAGTCTCATGGTTATTCCTCTATTTTTGTGTAAAGACAGTGAAACATGCTGCTATTTATATTAGCTTTTTTCCTGTATGTATTGTGCACACTTACATATTGGGGAAAAAAAAGTAAAAATATACAACTTTTGCAGCATTTATATTGCTTTGCCAATATCTGACAAATAATAAGCATGGAAATGTGAAATGAATGAGAGGACAGGAAATGGCAATACTGAGCTCATATTCAACCAACTAATTATAGGTGAAGGACTGAAAAGGTTCATCCATACATATTCACATCATGCACAACACCCTACACCAATATGCACATGAGCCTAGTGATGGATTGTTGAACAAAAACACCAGCTACATAGTTTAATGGAGTATTCTATAGGAGCCACATGTAATTCTAATATAGTACAATGTTTGCCAGTGATCTGACAGCCCTGTTTTTCACTTGTCACTATAATCTTTTATTCAAGAGGTCACGTAAACCCACTACAGAGGCTCGATACATCAAAGTGAGTGTGTGAAGCGATTGTGTGTGTATCATTCCACGGGCCCACTGATCCTACAGTCCTGTTGGGCCCTACCATCTTCGTTGGGAATGCCATGAGTAGGACAGGAATGCACACTCACGCTCAGATATTTTACATTTGGAAGCATACCAGATTTTAATTTCTTTCTCTCTTTCTCGCCATCTGCGAGGGGTGGTGGGTGCTCCGGGGTTGGGGTGGAGAAGTGTGGGTTTGCTATTACCCTGACAACCCCTGCCTGGGGTTCCAGTGGAGAATGGGTTTAGTGTGAGTCTGCATATGAGTGACTGTTTGGTGCACTGGGTACCAGGAGATGCAGCGTGAGCATGTGAGTGAGCGAGCCAAACAATGGCCCTGATTTAGGCCGGCTGGTCAGTGGGTGAGCGTAAGGCTGGGCTGAAATGTCCATGGAACGCACCAGCAGAGGGCTGGCATTATGAGAAGAATACAGTGAGGGGTCTGTGACAAAATGAGGAGAGACAGAGGAAGGGTGGTGGCATGCACCAGGACCTAAGAACAGGGGGTGGGGGGGCTTGAGATGGGGTGGTGAGTGTGTATGACAGAGGTCTTTTCTGCATCTGACAGAGTGTTGTTTGTGTCTTGTTTGGCTGAGGAATGCTGCTGTCCATGGTCACAGGAGGTTATTATGTGGGCCTTATGTCACTACTGGGTGTCTTGAAGCTGCACACAGAGCTGGCGCGTCAAACAGCACACTACCAACATGCGTGTTGGTCACATTGGGCGTGATACCTGACCAGAAGATCTCAAGGCCCAGGCAGAAGTCCTCCTCAGAACTCTTGTGTTGACCTGCTGACAGATCGGTCCATTAACTTGAAGCTATGACACGTTTCTATCTCGCTCTGTTTATTGTAGATTTAAATGTAGTCTGTACAGGAACTGAGGATTTCGCTGTTTGCCCAACTGCTGGAAAACTCCAGATGAGGACAGTATGTGTGTTTTGTGTGTGTCCCAGTTGGAGGATGAGCTCGGTGCAGACGGGGAGAGGCAGCGTGGCAAGCTTGTTCAGCTGTGCGAGGGCTCGGAGGGTTAAATCCTGCCGAGGCTCTCACACACACACACATACACTGCGACCGTGGGTTCTTTCTCACATACGCACAATGAGGCTAAGATGCCTGGGGTTGTGTCTGGGGCCACGGGCTCTTGGTTCTCACACTCTGAACCAGTACTTCATCCCAGACTCGGACTCAATTGTTGTAACGGTGCTCAGAGTGGCTGGCCGCTCCGCTGCTCCGGCATCATCATCGTCTTTCCTCTCACCATCAACATCTCCATTCCTGAAATATGAGAATCCATGGAGGTATTTGATTTTGTGCACTGCTTGCTGTAATTTGCAGTCTAGTTCTTTGTCTCTGTAATGAATCTGTATGTCTTGAGTGCAAGCTTCCTTATTATTTAGCTGGAAAGTAATATATTTGCATTTATTTGTCTTCAGGCAATATTTCCTTAGGTGATGCATCTTTTATTTAAGAAGTTGTACATTTATTGTTTGGCTGAGAGGGGTTTCTATTTTGTCTTGTCTAATATGTCCTGTCCCCTGCTCTGTAGGGCTCCATTTCTATTCTTTTTCAACTTTATTTCTCATTGAAAGCCTTTCTTTTTTCAGAAATCTTTTTATCTCACTTCTTTCCAACTATAAAAGTCTCATCTTTTCCTGTCTGAAAGTAATCTTATGTCTTTCTTACTGTCCCTTTCCAGTCCAGCTGTTGAAATCCTCAGACCTTGGCCGCCATAGTCTGCTCTATCTTAAAGAGATCGGACATGGCTGGTTTGGCAAGGTAAAACATGCTTTTTTTTTCCATATGCATTGTCCTTACTGGTACCAACTGTACTCTAACATGCTTTCCACCCATTGTGGAATGTGAGGGTAATGTGGTTATGATCTCATTCTAGTCAGGCTAAGGGTTTGCATGGTGTTGATTCCATGGGAGAAGAAATTCAGTCATAGTAAATTCCTTACAGTTTTCTGTTTGAGGCTAACTACACCACATTAAAATTGGTTATACCCCACCCTCCCTTATATTTCTCAGGTTCTGCTGGGCGAGGTTAATGCAGGCCTCAGCACCACCCAGGTGGTAGTGAAGGAACTGAAGGCCAGTGCCAGTGTCCAGGAACAGATGCAGTTCCTAGAGGAGGTCCAGCCATATCGGTTAGAGATCTCACAGCACAGCCCTTCAGCCTATGAGTAGCACCACATAGAAGTAAAACAGTGTAAATGAATGATCAGATTGTTTGTTGTATGTATGATCTCTGTGCATTCATACCTACATAAATCCTGTTTCCTCTACCAGAACCCTCCAGCATCCTGCCCTCCTGCAGTGTGTGGCACAGTGCTCTGAGGTTACTCCTTATCTGCTAGTCATGGAGTTTTGCCCTCTGGTGGGATGCAATTTTGTTTTAGTCTTTCACATAATCCTCATTATTTACTCTGTTGAAGTGTTATTTGCAATATTTATAAACTGACATTTATTTCCTCTCTCCTCTCAGGGTGACCTGAAGAGTTACCTCCGCAGTTGTCGGGCAGCTGATTCGGAAACTCCTGACCCCTTGATCCTCCAGCGAATGGCCTGTGATATTGCCTCGGGGCTTATGCACCTGCACAAATACAACTTTATACATAGGTACAGTATGTGAATTGGTCTAGCTCTGTTTTACCTTAATCAGCCACATTAATGCTCCTCAAAGGAAGAATCCATCTGAAAGGTTTGTGTGCCTCCTTCTGGTCTCTCCCAGCAACAACATCCTGGTGCTGCCTGAGTAGTTGTCACAAACTCCAGCATCAGTGATTTTGTTGCCGGGGGTGAGCCCCTCTCGCTCTCTTTTAGCCACGTGGTGGCTGCCAGGCTATAAAGCTCCTTTTTTGCGCAGGAGGTGAGATTAAACAAAGTGACTTACTCTAGTTTAGTCTGTCTTTAGATCGTCAGGTGAGTAGAAACTGCACAATACTGTTTGCTAATGTACATACATAATGCTACAATTTAATTAATGCTGTGGCTACATTAGGTTAATCATAATGCAGTGACATTACAATACTGTATCTTTTAGCAAGGAGAAAATCTGTAAAGGCCCACATTCATACAGTATGAAGTAATAAAATAATGCAGTACATTAAGCAGAAGCACTTTAAAATATGCAGTATGAAATAAAGTCATGGTTATACACAATAGTTGCATTGTTTTAGAAAAGTTCATCTTCTTTCACCCAACAGTGACCTGGCACTGCGGAACTGCTTGCTAACTTCAGAAATGTCAGTTAAGATTGGAGATTATGGCCTTTCTCACAGCCAATACAAGGTCAGACTGTTTGGTTTTTTTTTTGATAATGACTGCTAATTATTTTATCACCCTGTGAGTACTGAAATCTTTCTTTTCATCTATAGGATGACTATTATATAACACAAGACCAGATTTGGGTGCCCCTGCGCTGGATTGCACCAGAGCTCATAGATGAGGTCCATGGAAACCTGCTGGTCGTTGACCAAACCAAAAGCAGCAATCTATGGTGAAATATATATAACAAATATTATTACAAGATTTATTTTTGATAACACTAAAATACCAGCTTCACCTTTGTCAGTCACATGCACTAACCAGTAACAACCAGTTGAAACGTTGGTTACTGTTTGGCTTTTTTCAGTATTAGTGTGGTTTTTCTGTGATCTGGTCTTCTTTGATTGTGGAACTCCTTAAATATATGCACAGGCCAAAGATACTTGTGACATAACATTAGGTAGGTTATGAAATGAACAGTTAGTTTGAAACTTGACCATATGTGTGATATGACCAGTCAACACACATTAATGTTTTGCCTGTTCCAGGTCATTAGGGGTGACTGTGTGGGAGCTGTTTGAATTGGGAAATCAGCCGTACAGACAGTACTCTGACCGGCAGGTGCTGACATATGCTGTGAAGGAACAGCAGCTCAAGCTACCCAAACCCCAGCTCCAGTTCCCCCTGGCTGAGCGCTGGTAAGACAGTAGCTGTGTGCCCACACATACTATACAATTACATACACAGGCTGACATGTTATATGTCTTGATTCCACGAAATGTACATTTTAGATATTACTAGGCCTTTGAATCTTACTGACCATCTAATTTCTGACTAGGCTTTTTTTAAAATCAGTTTGATTGTAATGATGCACCAGTCCACTAGAGCAATATTTCTTTTTGCTAGCAGGCACAGATGATCAATGCTCTCCCTGTTCTTTATGATCTCCTTGGTATCGACCAGAGTTTAATCACCTCATTCATCTTTAACTGGGAAGCCAGCCAAATAAGAGTTTTTTTTTTCTTTTTAATTGTTCCTCACTAAACGAAATGTACTTGGTGCCAAACAGAAGGAGGAACGTAAACATCCTACATCTCCTTATAGTACATAGTATACTCCTTCTGTTATAGGCTAGTGTCATAAAGATGCTGTTAAAGTGCTGAAAGTTATTTTTATTTTCTCTTATGGTTTTACTAGAATACATTGTTTAAATTCTCCTTTAAATAAATTACTAAAACCAGAAATTCTCAGAATAAGTATTTTTCTATGCAAGCTTAAGGATAGTAACATACTATAAATTTGTTTGTCTTCAAACATCTTTTACCTCAGATAATTTCTTTCTCTGTCCAGGTATGAGGTGATGCTGTTCTGCTGGCTGCAGCCAGAGCTGAGACCCAGCAGTGAGGAAGTGCATCTTTTGGTCACATACTTGTGTGCCAAAGGCTCCAGTGAGGCAGAGGAAGACTTCGAACAACGCTGGAATGCCTTGAGACCCAACTTGCTTGGTAGTACCTTCCACACAGCTGCATCCACAGCTCTAGTCCTGACCCCTACACCTGCCTCAGTTAATGCCTCCAGTGCAGATCAAACTCAGGCGGTGGAGCTGGCCTCTTCTGCCTCATCCTCCTTCCCCCTCCTGGAGCACTTCTCCGACAGCTTCCACTCTGACACAGTGGATGACCTACTGACTGTTACAGAGACCAGCCATGGTCTTAACTTTGAGTACAAGTGGGAGCAGGCCCGAGCTGAGCAGCCCTACTGCTCCTCCTCCACCAGTGGGCCACTGGGCCAGGGGAACCCACATTATCAGGATATTTATTATTCAAGCAAAGGAAGCACATCAGGGGGTTGCAAGACTGACAGCCTGACCTCAAGCGTATCCCCTTCCTATTATGAACCCGAACGCCCAGGTGTAGTCCCTGTATTGAGCGCCCACAGCCCCTCTGTCAGCAGTGAGTACTATATTCGTATAGAGGAGCCAGTAGAGTGTAATGTTAACCTGGATGACAGCATTGTAGACTACAGTCCAGGACTGGAAGCCAGCAACAGTAGGTTGTCCTCTGAGAGTCACACTGGTTCATCCATGGCAGCACCAAGTGCTTACTGGTCAACTGCTGACAACAGCAAATCTGCTGCCTATGACTCCGATTCGAGCCCCACTGTCCAACTAACAATGGGGCCACTGCTGAGACAGACATCCAACACCAGCTCTGTAAAGTTAGACCAAGCCCACAACTGCTTTCCAACCAATCACGTTGGCACAATCCACAGTGAACAGTCACACAAGAAATGCCAAAAGTCCTGTGTGTCTGAACTGGATACATCACCAGAGTCCCGATCAAACCTTGTCCACTCAGTGGGGCAGCTAGAAAACACACGCAGTTTGTCACAAGCAGTTAGCAGCCCCAGCTTAGGGTTCTGCGATCCCTACCTTGAAGCAAACACAGGTCGTGGCATGGTTAATGAAAGCTGCCATGGTATGATGGGTCCCTTCAGAAAGACACTATCCATTGTTAACCATGTTAGCATCGATGTAGGAACAGATGGCGGCCTGCTGGTGGGCCAGCGGAGAGGTGAAGACATTGAGGATGACCTTTTTTCTGAGGGAGAGCTGACTAAGTGGACTTCAAACCATTCTGCAAACAATAATAGCCTGAGGTTTGACAGTAGGCAGACGGGCAGTGGGCATGACAGCTATCTGGACCTTCAGTATACTGCTCACACTAACACAACAGAATTATGGTCTTTAACCAAGGCCACCACCAGGACCTTCCACAGCTCCAGGTCATCTGCCACTTTGGAGGCAGAAGCAGGAGACACCAGTTGTAACACTGCTATAATGCCCAATGAACTGGCTTCATACATTCACTTATGTCACAAAGACAGAGAGGAAGCTGTCACTCAAGTGGAAAGGAACCTGGCTGCAGAAAATCAAAGAAATATCAGTTCTCTTACCATCTCAAGTATTAATGCCAGAAGTACAGAGGATGGAAAAATGGAGGGAAAATATGAAAACCAATTGTTGCTTAATGGAGAGAGACTGTACTGTGAGCCTACGATGATACCTGAGGCAAGCTTTATAAAATCCCCTTGCTCTTTCAAGGATAAGGAAAGAGGAGCTTTGTCAGACAAGCAGAAGGGTAAAATTTGGGAGGGGGTTTCAAAGGGAATGTCTGTTGGTCTGGGAGATAAGAGGCTAAATTATACAGACACGTCAGAAAATTGCAGAGCATTGGATAGTGGGGTTGTGGTTAGGGAATCCAGCCCGGCTGAGCTTGGTCACTGCAGTGAGGATGACGATGATGACATTGCAGATATTACATCAGGTATCTTTGCCGACTTCAACCTAGATTATGCTGAGGTAGAGGAGGAAGAGCTAAGCCCACTGAAGAATCCAGAGGGAACTCCTGAATCTCTAGATGCCATTAACATGTCCTCATCAATGACAAGCCCCTGTGATCAGGCCTTCAGCCCTGATCCCTTCAATACTCCCACCCTGCCCAAATCCCTCGACAGTGGCTATGACACAGAGAACAACGAATCTCCAGAGTTTTTCTTTAAAGAGCTCGGAAATCCCCTGGGTGGAGAGCCTGAGCTTGTTCTGCAGGTGGGTTTAGGCCAGAGGCTGTGCACTTCCACCAGCACCTCAGAGCTACAGTTAAAGACCGTGACTGATAAGAACACATACAGGGACTCTGCCTACTTCTCTGACTATGATGCTGAAAATGAGAGGAGGAGCCCTGAAGAGGAAGGCATCAAGTTCTTTGCAGGTCCAAGAAACCATGACCTCCGTGCTGAGAAAGTGAGCTCTACCAGTGATGATGAACTTATCAAAAGGCATTTCAGTGAGGAGCATTTAACAAATCTGAGACACATCAAAAGTGTTGTAATTAATCTGTCAGAGACTGACCCCAGCACACCCCATCCCCTTCCCACCCCTGGCTTGTCCATGCTGTCCCCATTTCCTCCACAGATGGGTGGTTGCCTGACCAAAGAGTCGGCCCCTGCAGATGATGATCTTGGACTGGAGACAGAGCACTCAGGAGAGGAGCCTCCCTCAGAGCTGAGCACCTCAGTTGGGTCTGAATCCTCTTCCACTGCCCAAGAGGCCCCAGCTAAAAATGAAGGGAGTAACAGGAGCACAGAAGACTGCTCCCCTACCCAGTGTTTGCCTTCTGAATCCACCATACATGAATGCAAAGATGAGGTCCCTAAAGAGAATGAAAATGGTGATGGGACCACAGAGGAGGAGGAGATTCCTGAATTCACTTCCATCAATGAGGAAACAGAGGACAGTAGGGAGGGTGTAAGAATAAATGCGGATGATTTTGAGGACATAGATGCAGAGGAGTGTGGCTCACAGGACAGTTTATGTGGGGTATCCAATGGCCCTGTTGACCTGTCCACATCCTCATCATTGTTGGAGCTGTGCGGAGAAGACATAAGCGCTCCGCTGGAGGAGGCGGAGGATGAAGATGACTCTGATGACAGTGAGTCTGATGAAGAATTGAGGACCTACAACATCCAAAATGAAGACAGTGAGGAGAGCGAGGAGGATTTCACGACTGTGCCAGTGGTGGTAGGTGACTACAGCAGGGCTAGACACCTCCGTAGCCTCCTGAAGATGCCAACCCTACTCACCCAGTCCTTCTGTGAGGATTTGGAGACGAAGAAAAAAGCAGTGTCCTTTTTTGATGATGTGACAGTGTTCCTTTTTGACCAGGTAAGGCACATTAATAGGTCAAAGTTGTGTAATGTGCATCATCTCAATGGTTAAATAATCCAATTGTTTGAGTATGCGAGGAATATTTTTGTTTGACTTCCAGGAGAGTCCCACAGGAGAGCTGGCTGACTGCGTCTTCCCAACAGAAACAGAGTCCAGTGGGCAGGAACCTTCTGGTGACCACCAGCTCCAACCTGAACCTGAACTTAAAGCTCAGTCTTGTGAAATCTTCTGTGTGGAAGAAACAGAGGGGAACACCTCAGAAGAGGGTGAGATCGTCAAGGACAAAATGCTACAGAGGCTAATCCTGGTTGTTTATCTTCGATTGTCCACCACAACTGTATTTGTGACTGTCTGTGTTCTCTCAGGTGCAGGCTATGAATGGGAAGGTAACCTTCAGTTTGAGCCCCGTCCATCCTCACCTGAGACCATCCCTGAGCCCCAGTCCTCACTCACATCCACGTCCAACAGCCATGAGTCTCCCAAACCTGCAGCTGCAGCACTCAACCGTTTTATGGTCTCACGATTCTCTATCACACATGTGTCTGACCCCCACACGGGCTCAGCAACAGGTCTGTATTAACTGTCTTTCATATGCAGTTTTGACTTTATTCTGTTAAATGAAATTTGCCAGGAATACTGTCTGACATTTTAACCTCTGTCTCAAATGTGTAAATCATTACACATTTAAAATTCAGAGTGCATGATCTTAGTTGTACTCCACCAAAAATATTTGTAGTAAAAAAACATCAATAGATTAGAAATGTAGGTGTTAAAAGTTGTCCTTCACTTTTGTTGCTTGTATTTTAGGTTCTAACATCTGTAGCATAAGCAAACATATCTATGTGTAACCAGCACTGAGCCACAATTTGGTGAATAAACGGCTAATCTTTAAACGCTACCTTTTGAAACACACAGCTGTTTGAGTATCTGCATTGATGTCAGAGAAGTACAGTAAGAAAACAGATTTTGGGTGGAGTATTACCCAAGCTATTTTGTTAGTTTCTATTCTAAACCTACAGAACTTATTTCCCATCAATTATTTTCAACAGGGAACAGTGAAGATAGTCCAAAAGACTGAGTACTGCACAGCCCTGACTGTAGGAGGATGCGTCCTGGTCCTTCTCAACACAGAAAGCAGCATTATTATATCTAGATGTTTTAAAGAGTTTTATTTTTCGACGTTTGGGGAATCTGACCCTGGTGACCCTTTATGAGACAGTGCCTCATATTGTAGTGAAACACCCTTGATGATTTGCACATAGTGTCCTCTTGTTTTAATTTTTGTGATGAAAGAGCTGCTGGAATGGCAACCACGGAAATGGATCTGAAAATGTAGTGATATTGTTTGCAGAAAAAGAAAAAGGTGCATTAGTTTTATCAGATAGTAAAGAACAACAACTACTGCTCAATGCAGCATCAGTTTCTCTTGCTCACCTTGCAAGGCATTTAATTTGTGGATTTAAAAATAAATACAGAAATGACAGGTTTCATAGCTGCTTGTCTCATTGGCTGCCTTGGTCTATCTGCTTACTTACCATTGAGCTGGCATTTTTAAAGACTGTTACAACTCTGTTTGGAAATCTACTGTAGCTTCTTATGCAACAATCATCAACCATTGTTTCCTGGCTCCAAACACAAAATCTGACTCTCTTTAACTGTCGTGGGTGGTGGTGATGGTGTTTGAAGTTAGAGGTGCTGAATTTGTCCCTTAATCCATGTCATGTCCAAATCACACTGATGGTGGGAATCAGTGGCTTCACATTGCTATGTTAAGGGAAACAATACAAGAAGTCAAGATGTTGAAACTCTTAGTTCTCACCATCACTCACTCTGCTTAATGATGACCTACAGTATTAAGTATGTCTACAGGTACCATATCTCTCTGATGCACTTTGTACAGACAAACTGGGTCTTTATTTGGATGGCTCTGTTGCTCTACATGTCCCCATCTTGGAATAAAAAAAAATATCTAAACATAACATACTCCCTGTATGTGTCCACAGCGCCAGCTACATGTTCACTATTCTGTGGCATATTAGCTTTGTTTTAAAAATGACATCCCTCCAGGAATAGAATGACACCAAAATGATGGATATGTGTCTCCTCGCAATTCAGCAGCATCTTGTCAACATGCTGGTTGTAAATGTTGAATGTCAGTTATCATCTGTAAGCATCTTTTGTATATCTACATAATGCATAGGCTCATGCATAATGTATTCTATTACAGTTGTGGTGAATGCCTGAGTTCGAGGTGTTCAAAAAAAACAAATGACATTTCATATATTGTATGATTGTTATATGTAGCAGGTAGACTTGAATTACTACTGCTGTATTGACAGCTCCCTCCCCCTCTCCTGCTGTAGCTCAAGGTGCCAATTCTGTTTTCTCTCGCCTTGCCTTTTAAGTTCTGTAAGAAGCGAAACGCTGTTATTATTTTTGTATAAGCATTTGGAAAGATGTAATTCAGGATTATAATCTCAAATTTGCCAAAGAGATATTACAAAGCTCATTGGCTATAACATGACAGGCATTTTTTGGAGAAGGTGAGGTGGGTTTGTCTATGCACCAGTAGTAACATCATTTGCTGTTTCCATTTCTCCCTCACGGCTATTGTACTATCCCGAACAAATAAATCCAAATCATTTTTCCCTTCTTGTTTCTGTATCTGCTTTGATGTCATAGAAGTGCAGTTTTCTAAAGGAAAAAAAGTGATGTTTGTGCCCATTCAGATTTATTTTGGACAGTTTGTATGTAGTTGTCAGTACAGTACAGATACAATACAAACAAACAATGATGAACATGAGAAATGAAAATAAAAGCCATATAAAAGTTTTTAAAAAATGCATTTGAAGCTTGATGCCCAAGTATAAGCACGATCATATCCCTCAGCATAAAGGACTCATTCATGGAAAACTGTTTTTTCATAATGAAACTTGATTCACCGCCATTGAAGAGGCATTTTTAGCTCACTCACACATACATACGCTTTTCTATTGTACAATTTCATAACTCTCCCACCCATTATAATGTAGATAAATGCCTCCGCTCTAAAATGTGTATGACAGAGAAATCAAGAACTATGATAATACTGCACCTTAACTGATAAGCTACCACTCCCTCAAAGCTAAAATAATAATTTTAAAAACTCCATTATGCATTTTAATCACCTGGCATCTTAAATATCACAGATTCCTAGAGAAAGAATTAAATTTCTAAACATTCTTGTATTATTACTGTACAGTGGATTTGCACACTCACTGTACTGCAGCTTGCCAAGCAGCAAAAAAAAAAAAAAAAAAGGGAGGGATAACGACAGTTTAAGGAATATAAAATGTATAACTGTGATGCATATGCCTTCAAACCAATTTACAGAATGATTGGGTTGATAATGCATGAAGCCAGTTTAAAGAAAAAATAATACAGTAGAAGGCACCGTTCCCACACTGAAAATCTGAGTATACTGTATCAGAACTGGTAAATAGATGGTACTTTGAATGGCTTAACAAAAGCAACATTTTACTCACCAACTGTCCAGCTCTAGTGATCTATGGCAGTATCCAATCTATACTGTACCTCTAAGGTGCATATAACAGTGATGCACTGAAAACTTAGCAACTGTCTCATATTCACCCTCAAGCCTCACCTAAAACAAATGCAGATGCCTTCACTGCTCATTAATGTGAATAATCCTTAAATGAAAATTTCAAATGTACAGTGTTGAAGAAAAAGAGAAATAGAAGTGCAGATAAATAAAGAGTCCTATGTGTTATCCTTATCTGCAACTGGTGCCATCTAAATAACTAGTAAAATCTACTATCACACTTGCACTTGAATGTTCAGGCTGAGACAGACAACGTTTGTGGAAGTGAGTGAATTGTCACCGCAAAGCAATTGAATTCTTACTAGTGTAACATATTCCTTGAGGTGTTCCACGTCAGTCACAAGTCTCAGCCCTGTTGCAACCTACCATGCTACTGTTGACAGTTTTCTTACTCTCCTTTTGGGAAAAAAAAAAAAAAAGGCCCATGAGTGGATAAAAGGGGACAGCAGGCCGCTAGTAGAAGATGGGAGCAGATCGGTCATCAGTGAAGGTGGGCCGGAGGTAGACCTCCAGGGAATGGTCACTGTGGGGAGAGGAAAGGCGGGGCAGGGAACAGTGACAGTTAGGTTGAACACAATACAAAATTTAGAGATACATGGCACCTTATGTAACCACACCCCAAAAAAACCTGACTTCCCAAAGTTCTGGTTCTTACAGCAAACAGTTGGGGTATCTATTGTGAGGTTTAGCAAGCATGTGGTGGGAGAATTAGTTCAAATGAGAAAAACAAAACTGCTGTGAAAGGCATGCATGCATGGTTATTATATTCTCTGTATGGTACAGTTGCACACACAGGGATAAAAGTTCTTTTGCAACCCAAGGCCTGTTGGACTGACAGAACCAAATGCTGCCATATCCATGGAGGAGGACAGAAAACACCAGTGATTGTCAGTATCCTACTGCAGCCACACATCCAATGACAGCAGAGAGAAAACCAGGCAGTAATAGAGAGAATGAGAAAAGTGTTGGCTGAAAGGCAATGAGGCTGGTGACTTACGGAGGTCCTGTTCCCTCAGAACCGGGACAATTCTGGACCCAAACTGGAAGGTAAAGAGAACCTTTGGGTTTGAATGGCTCATCTTTCAAATCATGCATGGGTCACATTTTGAAACGACACTGCTGGTTAGTCTGATGCAAGATGAACATTCTGTAGGTTGATAACTAACTGAAATGAGGGATGGAAAACAGAAGTACGCATTTCATGCTCATGCCATACACCATACTGTATGCTCCTTTTCAAATTCTAAACTTTGTGAGGGAACATGTCTGCAGCTCATCTTAGTCGACATACAGTACATTTTACTGTAAATGCAACACAGTCACCAGGCAGGTGTTCCACAGTAAGTACTGTCTTCCAAAATGTGTGCCCTTTCTACAGTATAACCCAAATACAACTCAAATACAAACCAAAAGAATATGTAAAAAAACTGAAAAAGAAGATAAGCAGGCAGGCAGAGTCCAGATACTCACTATGCACATACTCTACACAACACCACCATACACATACATGCACTTTTTTGGGGGGGGTCTTACGAGGGAGGGGCTGAAGGATGAAAGTGCATTCTTAGGACACAGCTGTGGCACAAAATGAACCAGACAAAGGCATGGCAGTTTGGAAAAACAAATTAATTTAAGCCTAAGGGGAAAATCACTTCAGAGCTGTGATTCTGAAATGAGAAAATATTCAACAAAACTGAAACTATCATCATTACTGACAGAACAGATTTCTTGTCAGACCAGACTGCTTATTAATATATAGAGATGTGTTTTATTTAGAATACCTTTGTAAAAAGTCACCATACATTCAAAGTCAAATTTTGTATCACATTTTCAGGTTTCCCTCCATAGCATGCATAAGATAAACAGTTCAACTAAGTCATTTGTCATCGTTTCTGCAAATATTTAGTTGTTTTTTACAAGGACAATCATTAATACAATCATAAATAACACTGAGAGCTGCAAAAGCTGTGGTTGTCATTTAAGCTAAAACTAGTTCACAGCTGTTATTTAGGATAATTAACAAAAGACTGAAGATCCTTCCAAGCTCACTGTAGCTTCAGACAAAGACCAAACTGAAGGAGTGAGGCATTTAATTTCAACTCAATTAGTAAGTTTAGCCAAGTTTCTGTGGGACTGAGGGTGGAAAGTTTAGCTGAAATGCGTATGAAAACATGTTTTTGCAATGATCATAATACAGTGCAATTTGGTGGACTGATGGAAATGATTTTAAAAAATTGCACAGAATTAAATTAAACATATGTGTTTAATTGAAAAAAAAAAAAAAGAAGCAAAGAAGGCAAATATGGCACACACCCTCTGGACGGAAAATCAAGTCTAGCACTGACACGAGGAAGCACAGAGCGACCCAACAGGATTTCTTCAAACAGAAACAGTAATCTGTTGCACAGCCTTACGATGAACAAAACCTCTTGGAGCGTGTGTGTGTTGGGTGGGAATACTGGGCCCACGTGTGCTTAACAAAAGCCATTCAGCCAGTGGCTTTAGTACAACGACACTGAAGTCTTTTGGCACTTGTACAGTACATGAACATGTCCTTTAGTTTAACAAAATGACACAACCATGTACATGCATGAAAGACAAGCAGTAGCAAAGGCAGTCTCTTGCTTCGATCAGTCCGTGATGGTGGACTGTGATCAGAGATAGAGTGTTCAGAGTCCATATCGATGCATGCCGAGCAGGTAGGCCCCGCTCTGGCTCTCTCGGTCAATGCAATCCTCCACCCACCAACCGCTACTGTCCACACCGACACCACCAGCAGCAGCACCCAGGAAGGATGGAAGGAGGGAAGGAGGGACCCGGGGAGGAAGAGAGGACAGAAAGGAGGGATGAAACTGGCCTCTTCCACTTGGAGAAGGGGTGTGTGGAGGCAGAAGAGAGGTGGAGATAAGCGGACAGGAGGGAGGCTAAGAGGAGGGAAAGATGGGGAGGAAGAGGCCCCTGTGCTATCCGGAAGCTGTCTGTGTCTGTCTGTATGTCTGTTCTCACACAGTCGAAATCAATTTGCCATCAGGACTGTCACTGTGGAACAAAGAGAGAAGGAAGCTTGCCAGGTCGGACACACTCAGAGAGAAATGGAGAAAGACAAGACAGGCACAAGTAGGCAAAGTAGAGTTTTGGAGAAGTGTAGGTGGGGTCAGGAAATCTACTTTGCCCCACCTACAAGTCCAACTCCAAACACACCTGCCGTTATCAGGAAGATTGGACTTCCAATTCCCTCATCAACATTTTTTATTCAGATATATTTGCCAGTTGGATTTTGTTCTCAATATTAAACCATTTTAGTGAATGTTTGCCTCCAACGGTTACTGATAAGTAGCCAAAATCTACAAGTTGATGAGAAAATCATCAAGTCATCTCCTTAGTTGGAGGGATGTAGTGTTAGATTAGTCTTTTGGGGTGAATACACCCTGCAGGACAGTTTTGTCTCAAAAATACTGATACAGAAAGAAAACACATCCAGAGCAGACAAGAGTACGCAAAACGGCTTTACACTGGCGCTCAAAGCCCCAGACGGACAAGCAGTGATGACGAAGATGAGGTCAGCATGATGTCTACTGTCACAACATGTACTTCACCAAATACCAACACAGCAAATGAAGGCCACTTCTCTCCCTCTCCCTCACACACACACACACACACACACACATTGATATACACGTAAACAAGGACTCCCTGATTGGACAGAAACAGGCACATCATTATTCCTAAACCTAACCTCACAACCCTGGTGAGTCAGCAAAGACTTGATAGGATTACAGTAAAAATACAATGGGCCAAGAGCACTTTGACTATAAACTGAGACACTGACCCCAGTAGACGGCACTCATTACTTTAAAATGCTAAGTAAAGTAAGCAAGAGAAAAGAGGAAAGGAGAAAGAAGACACAGTAAGATATATTCAAAGGAAACATTGCGCACACATCTGATGAGGTGGGGATTTTAACACTACGACAGAATTAAACATATTGTCTGACCTTTACTATATTCCTCATCATTGCATTCTATAATGTCAGGATTTGTTGTTTGTCTGTGTTTTGTATTAATGTACTTTGAATATAATCTTTTGATTCTGGACCGTTGGTCATACAAAACGAGTTACTGAAGATAGAAATTAGGACACCGTGAATGGCATTCGTCATTCTTTACTGAAATTTTATAGACTCAACAATCAAAAAAAAAAATCTACAGCAAACAACAATGAAAATAACTGATAATTGCAGCCATGAGTCATACTATGTAAATATGGGTACGTGCACTTTGTTTCAGACACTGTGTAGGACTGTAGTCGACCAAAGTGTCCCAATTCAATACTACATACTAATTGTAAACAGTGTCCAGTAAATACTATTGTCATAGCATACCTAAAAAAAACTTCACCATTTCTGTCACAAGTTGTTGTGATGATGTACAGTGCCAAAGCCATACACCACAATGTGTCTCTGAACGTCTTTTGTAAAATAAAATTATTTGAATTTTTTTTTTCACTAGATCTCCCTTGAGCTATCCCATAGTTGTCTACTATTTGTCTTAAAATTGTAAACTGTGATTGGCTCCACCAATTCCTTTGTTCATACAATATGCAACACACTGCTCAATTTCTTTTTCACACCACACGTTCCACTCAAAACCTGCATAGAATGTGTATGTAGCATTAAATAGACATTGTGTACAGGTATGTAACCCAGTTGTTTTGCTCTGTCTTGATGTTCCCAGCATGGACTGTACACGTAGTACTTGAGTTAAAATGCCATTTTTCAGGCTCGGTCCTCCCACTACACTATCCTAGTTGAACAATTCAGATGGAAGCAGCAGTCATACAGTATCAGGCATTACTTAGAGGGCAGGACAGAAAAGGCACTTACCTTGTGGCAAAGCGGCCATCATAATCCTCAATGGCAGGCTGAAAGGACAAAAATACTGTTCTTTACTTGGTCTGCTTGTATACCCAAGACTGAAGTCCTGTAGTACTGAGAAACAAGCACTAGGTGGCAGCAGAAACTGAGAAAACATCTTTTCAGTTAACTGCAGGATTACTCATATCCAATTATGTAACATAAGACTAAGCCAGATGGGGGTTACAAATTTACTGAAGGAGTGCAACAAGTGTAGAAGAAAAGTAAACTTTATTTTTCCCCAAGGGAAATTTGTTTTATGTACAGTGCTACAATCTGCTGTAAAGTCGACCAGAGTAGCAAGGAGGAGCTATGAGAGGCTGAAAGATCAGTGTTTGACTAATGACCCATCGTCAGTGTGGAGGAACCTATGGAACATCACTGTTTACAGGAAACCATCCCCCCTGCTGTGGAGAGCCATCAGTTGGCAGATGAACTGAATGTGTTCTACTGCAGGTTTGAGAAGCAGAACTCCACACCCCTCACCCATCTCCCCACCAGCCCCCCACCCCTGAAGATCTGTAAAAAGGATGCGTGCAACCTTTTCAAAAAACAAAAGATCAGAAAGGCACTAGGCCCATACGGTGTGACCCCCTCCTGCCTGAAGACCTGTGCTGATCAGCTGGCCCCCATCTTCACACTTATTTTCAACATGTCACTGGAGCTGTATGAAGTCCCCTCCTGCTTCAAATGCTCCACCATCACCTCTGTCCCCAAAAACACTCCATCAGTGGACTGAACGACTACAGACCTGTCACTTTGACATCTGTAGTTATGAAGTCCTTTGAAAGACTGGTGCTGGCCCACCTGAAGGACATCGTAGATGCCCTGCTGGACCCCCTGCAGTTCGCCTACTGGGCAAACAGGTCAGTGGATGATGCAGTCAACATGGCACTGCATTACATGACTACAGACCTGTCACTTTTACATCTGTGGTTATGAAGTCCTTTGAGAGACTGGTGTTGGCCCATCGGAAAGACATCATAGACCACCTGCTGGACCTCCTGCAGTTACACTGCCAGGCAAACAGGTCAGTCAATATGGCACTGTATTACATCCTGTAACGCCTCAACTCCCAAGGGACCTATGCACTCTCTTTGTGTATTTTAGCTCAGCGTTCAACACCATCATCCTTCACTCTAAACTGACCCAGCTCACTGTGCCTGCCTCCTCTACACCAACAACTGCACTTCAGGGGACCCCTCTGTAAAGATCCTGAAGTTTGCAGATGACACAATGGTCATCAGTCTCATCCAAGCTGGCCCTGTGGTGCAGTCGCAACAACCTGGAGCTGCTCAAAACAGTGGAGATGACAATGGACTTCAGGAAGAGCCCCCCCACAGCCTACCCCCCTCACCATACTCAGCAGCACTGTATCAACAGTAGAGTCTTTCACGTACCTGGGCTCCACTATCTCCCAGGACCAACATCAGCTCCATCACCAAAAAGGCACAGCAGAGGATGTACTTCCTACATCAGCTTACGAGGTTCAACCTGCCCCAGAAGCTGCTGGTACAGTTCTATAGAGGAATCATCGAGTCTGTTCTCTGCTCCTCCATCACTGTCTGGTTTGGCTCAGCAACCAAACAGGACAGGAACAGTCTCCAGCGGACAGTCAGGACTACAGAAAGTATCATCGGTGCCAGCCTGCCCTTCACGGAGGACCTGTACACCTCATGGGTCAAAAGGAGGGCAGAGAAGATTTCTGCAGAACCCTCACACCCTGGACACAAACTGTTTGAACTCCTCCCCTCTGGGCACTACAGGCTACTGTATGCCAAACAACCAGACACAAGGCCAGTTTCTTCCACTGGGCCGTCGCTCTCAACAGTTAATCCATGTTTATATGTATAACAAGATACAGCAACCACCACAGTGCAATAACTTATAGATATAATCATAGTACATAAAATAGTTCATCCCAGCTGACGTTGGGCGGGAGGCCACGGTGTACCCCACCCTGGAAAGGTTGCCAGTTTATCACTGAGCTTAACTTGTATATATGTACATATTTAGAAATAGATGGTTGTCTGTCTTCTTTTTTACTTGTTATTCATTATTTGTTTGTTGTTTTTTCCAGTTTTATTTAGTGCACATCGGGAGCCATTGAGCTGGAGTCAAATTCTATGCATTTTAACATACTTGGCACTAAAGTTTATGATTAACTAGTTTAACTGTGTGTTAATAGACAGCATCCTATCCATAAGCCATTTGACAATGCAATACCATCAATAAAACAAATGCAGTTTATTCTACTGTAATGGCACTCAACATGCAAACGTACATCAGCAACAGAACATTCATAAAAACTGGTTCATGGGTACTACGCATGTTAGATTGTGGCTACCTGTGTGCCGAAGGCTGCCATGCTGTAGGGGCGTGGGCGGGTCTGTGCTAGGCTCTGTGCCAGGAGTCGGGCAGTCAGGCCGTAATCAGGTGTGGGCAGCGTTCCATCGTTCTCCAATAAGTTCCCAGTGCTGCTACTTTTCCCATGGTGCAGACTGGGAAGGTAAGAAAACAAATGCCTCAAACCTGGGCACATGTGGGCTCATTTCGTTGACACACTGTTTATGAAATATTTGCAACATACTTCACTTTGAGCTTATCACTGTCGCTGTCAGGCAGCACACGCGTGTACGAGAAAGGGAACCAGCCACGCCTGAAGAAAATGAAGATCTTGTTACAATTTGCTTTAAGAGTACATAAACATTTATTCACTGTCACAGCATGGAATCAGGCAAAACAGCATAAATGAGTATGTTACTTACATCTTGTTCTTCTCATTCTCCCCATAGTGCCAACCATCACGAGCTTCAGGCACTAGCAGGGTGATGACGTCTCCCTCGGAGAAACTCAGCAGAGTGCCGTTGTCTCCTGCGGCGTGCGAGAAGATGGCCTGGACACGGGCACGCCCATTCTTTTCCAGACCTGCTGCCATGGAACTAGACCTCGGCAGGGTCCGTGTCTCTCCTGAAGGATTTACAGACAGAGACAATGGTCAGAAAGATGATGACTATTAAGACTTCAGAGGACCAGAGTCACAAAATGCTCTGAATAACCCAAGTCTGTGATAATATTTACAGTCAGCAGTCAGGCAGATGTACTAAATTTTGCAGTTTCTTAAATGTGCTTTGTGTTACATTTACAAATTACCATTGGTATAATCAATTTGAACAAACGAGACTGTGATTGAGGTGATTGATAGATGTCAATATTCCTCACAGACATGGTTGCCAAGTGGATACTGCTGGTAATCCCTGGACAGTATCTTTGGGACAGTGAAGACCAACGGTTTGCAACCTTCCCAAATCAACAGCCTACACTGTAGTTTACAACTGAGGCTGGTAGGTGATGCCATTCTTAATGTAACTGCAACTATTCATATAATATTAAATGGTCCTTAGTATAACTAAGTAAAATGAGAGGAATCATTATGGTGCTTAGCTCAGCATTCTGCTGGTGATTTTCCTGCAGCAGTGTTTCTGTTGCTCATTAAATCCTAGGACTGTTTGGATATCTTACCCACGGGGTTCTTATTCTTGGCAGGGGCAGGTCTGCGCACCGGGAGGGTGTTGGAGTAGACATCGCTGACCTGTCTCTGGGGCTGGACCTGGGACTGGCCTGGGGCCTGGGTCTGAGGTGATGAAGGCCTAACTTGAGAAACAGACATAGATCCCCCATCTGTCCAGTATTCCTCTCCATGCACTCCTGTTGTACCATTGACCATGGACATACCATCAGGGCCCATCAGCCTCTGGAATGAACATGCAGATATATATTAATGAGTCAGCATATAAATTTGTAAAAAGGGTAATGATGCGATTAAATCTGCTGTATTCAAATGAACTCAGCTTTTAAATTAATTAAAAACGCTATCACTTTGTGATATTAAACTCAACACTTACTGTACAATCCAATATACTCAAAATTAAAATTCAAAGATTTATTCTGGCTTCATGTTTGCCTCCAATAGTATGGCTAAATAATCATTTGGTTATCCATATAAAACACCATTACCTAACAAAAACAACAAATAAAATAACTGGAAAAAAAAACAACTAATCAAATAGTGGCATGCGTTCAGCCCCCATTTCCTAAACTCACCGCTGAGTGTCCAAGGCCACCACTCATGAAGACGGCCAGCTCTGGGGGCACAGGAAGAGGCTGAGCTCCAGGGATGGGGTCTGAGATGACCAGGTTGGATTTGGAGGTATGCAGGGGGCTTGAGCCCCCAAGGGCAGCAGAGCACATCTGCTGGGCCAGAAGCATAGCCCTCTCTGGCAGCTTGTTGGGGTCTGAACAGGCCTGTTGCCACATTGGGATCTTCTGGGTGAGAAGATCTTTACCCTGAAAGGAAGAATGAAACAATGGGGGAAAAAAATGAATGAAAACAAAATATGCAGTATTGAGAGAAGAAGTTGATGTAGCTGGAATGTGACCAGAGGAAAAGAAAGCTCAGTTAAGCAATTTTTTTGCTAAACCTTCTCTAAAAACATTCAGTCCTCAAAGATTTTTTCCACACTGTGTATCCTTAACCAATGGCCTTTGCACAGCTATGATAATGTGTTGCGTGGGTGAGCCAGGACAGACCAACATACAACCAAGCTGCCCACTGCAGCATCTCACAGCCTGTGGACATAGCTGTTCTTTCTACAACTATAGACAGAGTTTAATAGATGAAAATGCATTATATATATGAATGTACAGTACACACATGCAAAAACACAGTCCAGTTTTTAGTTCTCATCATCTCTTTCTCTCATACACACAGAGATCTTGCACAGAGACAAACCTGCACTAGGGACCCTTTGGGACAGCGTTCTACAGTATGCTGAAGGTGAACTCTTCCCATGCACATCCCCATCTTGATTAATGACTAGACTCCATGTTGAAAAAGAGGTGGTAGCACAGTATACACACACTCCCCCTTCCAGCCACATCTTTCAGACTCACAGCTCACAATCACCACTAATCCCAGGAGACTGATGAACTTTATTAGAATCTGATATTCTTGTGTAATAAATAGGCATTCATTGGTAACACAGACACACACATACAATATATAAATTAATAAAACTGACTAAATTCTGCTTAATAACACGCCGCTGCTTTTGAAGGCATGTAATCTGTTTGGATTCAAAGGTTCTTTGCTTCAAATGTCAGAAACTATTTGAAAATAGCAAGGAGGTACTATAGTGACTTGTTGTAAACAGTCTGGGTGAGAAACAAATTGCAACTCTTATCCTGTTCATTGCACTGAGCTTCGGTTTCAGTCCGTCTTGCCTTAGATTTAGCATTTTGATGGCTTTTCCTATTAAAATTTTTTCTGAATTAAAAGAACAAGAGAGCTCTCAACACAAAAAAAGTCGGCCAGGTGCTTGAAGGTGCAATGATGGATTACAGCTTCAGCTATGCCTGTCAGCTGGGCATTGTCTATGGTCCTAATGAATTTTTAAAATGAAGAGGCCCCTATGAGCGGTCAAAGCTAATGCAACTGTGAATTATATATCTACTAGTATGAGCTTTGCACTGAACAATGATTTGCAGGAGGTAGAATTTCAAATAAAACAGATGACAGATGGGGAGTAGTTGGCTAGAGTCAATACAACAGCACAAAATGAATATGTTATATTTTATAAACTAACTTAAAATATTCTGCACATATCTTTTTGAGCATAATGTACAGAAAATGTGTCTCCTTTACATAAGCACTGAAACAGGCTAAGCTTCATTAGTTCCTGAGGTGCTACTGGGCATAAGAACTTCATGGCCATACAATTTATTCAAAGAAACAAATTAAAAGCCCTGAAAACCTTTTTTCCCAATCAACATCTTGCTACATGAGCAATAAAGCCCCACATTAACTCATTATGTCCTGCCAAAGTTTGAACTGATTTACATACTGCATTTTAGCCTGTAACCTTCCAGTGAAAGAATGTGAACCTGTCCTAGAGGAGGAGAGGCAGACTGCCAACTGGGAAAGTTATCAGCATGACCCCAGGGCAGATAAGGTATGCCACAGCACTGAACTCTTCGTTACGGAGAGAACTGAAGCCGTAGACTTAAATATGCCAAACTTGGAGGGCAGATGTGTGTTGAAAGAGAATACTGGAGTAAAGTCTGGTCCCTTTCAAAGGCTACTGTTTATTTAAGTAGTATGTGCCAACTAAACCTGGGAAATAATGGATCAAGACCTGGACAGCATGTAATGCCAAGATTACCTATGCCTGGAGCATGCAGGTGTCCACAGACAATCCTGCTTCAGAGGACAACCATTCCAAGCGCATGACCCTGGAGATGACATCAAATGTCCAGGGCCACAACGTCACCTGATAATTTATGTACTTCTTACACCCAGGGCCTCATTTTTTCATTAAAGTATTTCTTCACAGACACACGCTTGTGTCATACTTTCTTATGACAAACAAAAATGGCCCTCTGATGCGCACCCTACACAGAAATGTGCACAGAAATTCTGAGCATAAGGGAGCAGAAGAAGCCCAGTGCTGTTCTGTTGACAACCTCGGTCATTTGTGCTACTTTACTCATGTACTTGTTTTTCTATTACCATGTGTTTTTGTGCACAGCAAGGCATGATGTTGGCACTGAATTAAGATCAATTTCATTCTATTAATTTCCTTACCTTGCCATGATAGGCGCTGCTGTTCTTGGCCACGGCACACTGGCGGTCCACCAGGAAACAGTACCTTCGACGCTCCTCAGACAAGGCTGTTTTGTATCCCTCAGCAATGAAGGTGTCCAGCTCAGTCTGCTTACTGCTGATGGTCTCCACAAACTGAAGGGAACACACAGCAAGTATGACTTATTATTTTAGACAAGCTATCTACAGATTTGCACTAAAGTCAACATGCATTAGTTATCTGCATCATTAAATATTTTCTTTTGTTTCATATTCATAATTTGTTTTGAAACATTTTGTTTTTTTACATTTTGGATACTTGTGCAAGACATGTTGGGGGAAAAAAAACATTCAACTACCTTTCACATTTAGTAGGTAACAAGGACAGACTGGTCTGACATGAAAAGTTGACTAAGTAATATTTTTGATAACACCCTGCTACATATTCACACAATTATACACTTTAAGATGTAGGGACTGCTCAGTACATCACAGTCTTGTACTGTCAATTACTGCGCAGCTCCACTGGAGTGATTAAGGGTTGAGTGCATCCTGACCATAATGGCTGTGCAAGGAGAGAGCTTTACTGAGTAACTTTGGCTGGCCAGATTTTCCCTGCTGAGTGCTATAGTACCAAGGTGAGGCAATGATGGCTGAATATCCCATGGTGTGGAGAGGCAACTGTTCACAAAGACCCACTAATCCATTTTACATGCTGGACCATAACAAACAGGTTTGTTTAATGTGAGAATACAGTAATAGTAAGCAACAATGAGAGAGATTAAGAGATCAGAGCTGTCTGTCTTACCAGAGCTTTGTACAAATGGGAAATGTCATTGGAAAATGTCTCACTGAGTTAACTGATAACACACACATACACACAATGATGACAAGCTAAAATGAGCCTTAATTTGAAGAGAAAATTGTATGTTGTTTTCTGGGCATGTACACGCAAATGTCAGAGCAGTCTGCATGTTGCTAACTGAAATTTTAGCGACTATAGTTCCAAAGTAGGTCGACTGAGTCCAGTTTGAAGGCTACTGTAACATCTGTTGACAAATACCGACCTAGAAGAGTGTGTTATATTTAGTTGCACTGATTTGATGACTGAAGTTATCCTGGAGGCACTTGGCAGGATTGAAATTTGGAGCATTCCTTGCATGTAGCCAGAATCAAGTAAACGTACAGTACATACAAGTTTCTTTCAGTATAGCAATAAAGCTGGCTTGTCATGGCTTATTATTATAGCTTATGTGTTGACAGGAGACTCAAAAACCATGCCATATTCCAAAATTTTAAACACTGGATCATGGTTGTGGTTGAAACTGTTACTTTTGTCCTTTTAGTTTCAGTGGCAGAAAAGAGCAAGCTGACATATTTAATTTTGTACCTGCCAGAGCACAGTACTTTCTGCCAACAGCAGCGCAGAACTTACTTCATCAGAATTCCAAGTGTGGATGAATATTTTAAGTGGCTACATAATACTGAACACAAATATTTTCAGGAATTGTCTTTTGCATTAGCACTGGAAGAAATCCAGGTACACCATTACAAAAATCCATGAAATCAAGTTGTCAAATCAAGCAACAGAAAGATGAAAGGATGATGAACCTCAGAACAGCCTGACCTTATTCTGTTCTCTCTGTACACAAACTCAAATTAAGTGCTACAGTATGAAACCGGTTCAGTTAGTAGATTTAGTTCTTTAGAGGCACAGCCTTCAGCATCCTTTCAGTGAGGTGAGTTGTGAAGGGAGGAGTGAAGTCATGTTGTTGATATGTCACTGGAAGTGCCAAGCAGAAGCCTTTTTTCTACCCTCTGAAAAAACTCAAAATAGTGATTTTGTTTTGTACAATATGAGTCATACTCTATACTGCAGAGAGAGGATAAAGAAGGAGGGAGAAAGGAGAAGAGAGGTATGCTATGGTGATTTAATATCTAGCAAAGACATGCACACAAAAATGATGTTTCATCTAATATCATGTGTGAATGGGTCTCTGGTTACATCAAGGAAGCCACATAACAACCACATAACAACCATTTGAAAGATCCAGCCAACTTTGCTCCTTCTCTCCCCCACACCTCTCATCTCTGAGGTGGAGTGCCCCCCTTTTTTATTTTTATTTATTTATTTTCAGTCTGAGTCACTGTCTGCCGGCCTTTCTAGCACTTTTGAGCAGCGCTAATAGGAGCGTGTACCCTCTGTACTCTTGTCAAATCCATATGTCCCAATTTTTAAACCATTCAAAAGGTCACCAGTAAAGGCAGTGAGCACAGTGTTTGACTGTTTGTTGTTATGTTTGCTGTGTCTTCTTGCTTTTCTTTTCTCTCTCCTCTATCTGCTCACCCCAACCGGTCGAGGCAGAAGGCCGCCCACCAGGAACTGGGGTCTGTCGGTGGTTTCTTCAGTTAGAGAGTTTTTCCTCTAGAATAATAATAATAATAATAATAATAATAATAATAATATCTAGACCTTACTTTGTAAAGTGTCCTGATATGACTTTTGTTGCAATTTGGCCCCAGGTTGCCTCATAGCTGGACTGACCTGTTTTGCAAAGATTATGAATATAGATGGAATTTGCTATACTGCACATCAATGCCTGTCTGACATTTAGAATTCAAATGATCAGCATTACTGCCACACCACAGTGAGTGTCCTGTTAGGCTGACATATTCAGGTCAGAATCTGAATGCACCAGCAAAAACTGAATGAGACATTATGCACTCGATTGCACTGAACACCAACACAGTTTCTAGTGATTACTGGAGGAGCACTGGGAAGCGAGGGATTCACACCCTTCACAGAGTGAATCATAGGATTCACAAAACTGTTTTATACTTCTTTTCATTTCTGTTGGGATTCAAAAGCATTACCCTGCACAGTTAAGAGCTGCTTAGGTCTGTTTTCTGTTCCTTCATCATTGGCACTCTTTGTATTCAAACACTTGAGGGTGCAGCACTTACATGAATCTGTTGGATGAATTTATCAGTGGTTATCTACTGCACAACAACAATGCAGTTTTTCTACATCTGTATGAATACTATATTCATGCCAAATTCCACTTTTCAATTTTCTGACACCAGGCTGAAGAAACCCCGAGCTTATCAAACATCTGCTGACATTCATTCTGAATCCTGAAGTCAGTCTCTCTCTCTCTCTCTCTCTCTCTCTCTCTCCTCGTGCGTCTGTCTGGCACTTATTAACAGCAACGCAAAAAGAGTTTATCTAGATCAAACCCCTTTCTCTGGTACCTTAGTCCATTCCAATGAACTACATAATGAGCGGATTAGCATATTGGCAGGGGCTTTACCCATTGATGAGATGGCACAGTGAAAGAGTCTGAAAAGCAGGACGGGAGGAAAGACAGACAAAGAGACAAAGAAGTGGGAGAGACATCAGCGAAGAGTGTGAGAGAGAGGAGGAGGGAGAGAGATAGAGACGGCAATCAATGAAATGCGGCCACCATCTGTGTCCACTGCCAGACTGTGCTCAGACACACTTTACTTTTAATGAAAAGAAGAGATAAAAAAGAAAACTTGGTGCCTCTCATCTGCTACAACAACACAGATGTGGTGTTGGAGGAGGAAATGTCCTCGCCTTGTCAACATTTACTTGTACTTTCTCCAACACTTTCCACCGTCTATCCACACAAATTTAACTTGTACACGGCATATCTGTAGCTGGTCTCTATCTACACCTTTGAATGGCTTTCACTGTGAAGCGCCGGTCTTGAAGGAGTCCAGTGTTCTGTCCCTCTCTGCACATTGTCCTCCCAAAAGGACTCGGGCACAAACGAGTCGACTTCTCTCTCACACGCCCACCGCTGTGATGTGATCAGTGGAAGTGAGCGGGCTGAGAATGAGAAAGGGAGATTGATTTTCCTTTTTCCCTGCTAACCAACTGTACATTATGAGTCCAGAGCCTGATGAGCTCCTTCCTCTGCACAGATGGGCCCAGCTGATCAATAAGACTGTGGAGTATTGCTACTACTCTGTATATCCAACTTAAAATTGCTTTTTTGGGCCATACTAGTGGTTTGATTATTTGTCACTACATCTACCGGTATCCACAGCAAGATACTGAATAGAGTCTTATTATAGTGCTCATGAGTTATAAAGTATTTCATGAACCTCAGGCCTTCTGTTTGGTGTCATCAGGTCAAAATCTCATTTTATCCAACACTACAGTCATACCAGTGTGTCTGGAAACCTAATGAGTCAAGTTCCATGAACTCGTCTGTGGATATTTATGGTTCCCACATGATAAATGTTAATGATTTTGAACTTCTCATTGGGTGTCACTATCAAGCCACTCTTTTAATTTGAACAAATTAAATATCAAAAATGATTGGACCAATAAATGTCAGGAATTGGAACGTTTGATCCAGTACAAGCATAAACTGCTATACTTTTAAATCACTCTTTACCCTTTCACAATCCCTCAAGACAATTTTAAACTACAGCCACTGCACATAGGCTTCTAAAACTGTCAGTACGCAAGTTCAATTTTTGTATCAAAGGGTGTAATGAACATTATAGCTTATTACGGAGATTTAGACTTATTTAGTTTTAGTTGAGACCAATTCAATAATTTCATTTTATTATTATTTCTGGACAACCACCTACTGATTTGGATTAAATAATTTCTTCATTCCTGTTTCTGTTCATCATATTATGCTTCATGTCATACAGGAAACCTAACAGAGGACTAATTATTCAGCCCGTACGGCACCTCACACTGCCAAATCAGACGACACTTCTTACAACATCTCTCATGGCATCCTTGACGCAGTGGAACAAACTGAATTTGACTCAGCAGTCAGATCAGTGCCATCTCAGACAGGAAGTGCAGAGCTGTGTGTGTACTGTATTGTATGTAAACTCTGAACAGAAACTGTTTTCTTCTAGAAGAGCAAATTAACTATCCAAAATCACAGTACTCAGAAATGTTTCTGGGTCAGCTATCAATCTGATTCTGTTGTGGCCAACCACATTTCACAGTGGCTCAGTAATTACCATGCGAGCCTCAACCTGTTGGTTTTGGGATATTTGCTTCTGTCCCTCCAGTCAGTCAGACTTTCAGCTTCCAGTGGAATCCTTGTGAAGGAACAGCGGTCACACTGTCACCCTTTTGTGCTGTGTCATTTTTCTCAGTTTGACAGTACACACTAGTCACAGGACTGAACTAATAAATAACTTGACAAAAAAAAAAAAACAACACAGTGAAAGCCTACAGTGGCGGCTTAACACAGAGATGGAGAGTTTTTTCATATGAGAGTACACTGTCACTCCCGCCCATGTCAAGTAGATGGTCGAGTGACAAACTAATTGTGAAAGATAATTAGGTCACGTCTAACACTGGTGGTTCATTGCAACTCATCAGTATTCATTTCACCTGATATGCTTTGTCAGAGGTTGCTTTGCTATGGAAATAATCACATAAATGATGGCGCTCAAAGGAAACACTGTTATGTTCACTCAGGTGACTGCTTTGGTTTCTCATACAAACATGCTGACAGGTTTGAAATATCAACCGCCTGGCCCGAGGACTGAAACCGTTGCAGAAAATATTGTTCTTGAGCTTCTGGGCATTTTGTCCACGTTTTATAGCAGCTACACAATCACACCCTCTGTGCATCACCTTACTGCCTTTACCAAAATACAACATTTTCATGGTTTTTGCTTCAAACTGATTTATATGCCCAAGCAAATCAATCCACGTGTATAGAAAATCCCAATAACAAAATAGATTTCACATGATTGTTGAGTGTGGTCTTCAAGCCTTAAGAGAAAGATTTCTGAATAAAAACTAATTAGAAATAAAAACAGGAATTTAAACATAATACAGTGTAGGCTTCTATATAATAACTATTTACATCAAACACATACAATGTGTAATCTCATATGCCGGCAAAGATCATTTGTAAGAAAACATAGCTATAAAACTCTTTAAATGGAACTGTAAAAATGTCAATATGTAAATAAAACAAACTTGGTAAATACCAGCATTCTACTATGAGGCTTGTCTTCTTATCTAGTTCTCTTTGGACAATTGATTCAGCTACAGCACTCCGTCTTATATATACACAAGCTGTGCTTTTACCCATTTTGTTAAAGCCATGAAGCTTCTCCTTCTAGTTGTTGTTTAACCCTAAACTATTATAATATAGGCTTTAGGAGTGGATGCAGCTCGAGTCTCACCTGCATCTCCTTCTCTCCATACTTGGAGGGATTTTTGCTGCCCTGGCTCTTCCTGCGCAGCTTCTTCAATTCAGCCTGGCACTTCTCCAGACTTTCCCCTTTGTTCTTGTTTTCCATCTGGTATTTCTTCAGGGCAGCCTATGTGAGGAACACGCAAAGCGCAAACACAAAATTAAGTTCACAAATTTAAAAAATACTGGGAGAAAGATGGTGGGATGTAAATGGGCAAAAACATTATGGTGCGGTCAACATACTCGTTTCACTACAGCATAAAAAAGTGCCTAGAAACCTCTGTATGGATATATAATCCATCATACAGTACAATTTCACATTCATTTTTGTTGAATTTATATTCCAGTTGTGTGGCGCTGCAGATGTAAGGAGAAACTATTTTTAAAACTCGTAATAAGGGTGTTGACATCTTAAAGCAATCCTGTTAATTACAGAAACAAGCTAAATCTTTGCAAGCTCCAATTTACTTATTTTTTCTTCCATTTTGACTTTTCAGTAGCATAACTTGCGATTGTCTCTCAAACTGATTATCCATCGCAAGTAGGTCTCAAGTTGATTTTCTTAATGTAGTGAAAAGGGGAAAAGTGATTTGTAGAACATGCAAAATGACTGGCTCAGTCATTTTACAGCCAGAGTTTATTTATTTAATTTGCCTATTTAATTACTTATTTATTGAGCAAAACAATTTTGTTTCCGTGCTGTACAAGCTCTGTTGCTATAGTAACTGTGTCTGGTGTGACAAAGCTCATGTGGTTTCTGTACAAGGCAAAATTGGCAGACGAGAGCTCATGCATGAGGGTTCAACACCCACATTTGCATGGTGTAAGACACTAAGGGTGTAGGTAGGACTCCTTGAGATATCGTTTGGCTGAAAAGGAGCAGGACAGAAGAGGCTGATGATTAAAATTATGACATATGCCATGTTTGGATTTTGTAACAGAGATGGATGATATGTATATCTGAGCTAGACTGGGATCTTTTAGACAGCTCACCATGTCGCCACAATAAACTACAAAAGTGGCTGGAATTTTCCATTTGTATTGATTAATTTCCCATGTCAGGAGCTTCTCTGCCAGATTGATTTTTTTTTCAACATGACACAGACAATACAAACTGTTCCACAGGTGTAGTCTTTGTAACCAAATAACTCTGAGTGACTCATCTTCATCACTCCCTCCTAATCTTTGAGGTAAAGAATGCAGCAGTATGTGTTGCTCTGCAATACACATTTACAGTTTGATTGTAAGAGCTCCCTGGTGGAAAATCTCAAGCACATACATCATAGTAATGATTCGAGAAGACACGGCTGGCTATTGTGAAAGGTCTGCTTTTAGTTTTCCTGGTCATGGAGGCAAGACAATATCCCCAAACATCCATCTCATTTAGCTAGAATGTTCCCCCTAACTAACAAAGCAAACGTCTGTTGACTTTTTGTTGCCAGGGTCTGTACCCACAACTTTAAGTCACTGGCTGTGACTGCAAGCAATTAATTAGTGTGTTTAAATCTGATCAGAAACAAAGTGGATAGATGACCCTTTTCTCTAAAAGGTGATCTGCCAGAACGGCTCCTCTTTACTTTTAATCTATATGCAATTTTTCGCATTTTAGGTTTATGCCCTAAATCTGACCTCTGTGTAAAGAGTGTTGTGAAACCCAGGCTGAGCCATCATGTGAGACAAAAGGAAGAGAAACAGACAGCGAGGGAGAATAAAGAGATGCACTGCTGGGAACAACACACGCACACACACACCAGCACGCTTCCCTTTTAATCTTTCTGAACCGAGTCAAAATTTCTGATGATTAATTCACAAAGTCTGAAGCAAAATGACTGCTATTATCACCGCAGCAGATCTACAGGATATTCATTAAAAGTAATGGATGTTAAAACCCTAGGGATAGCCTCTGCTGAGACAGAAATATCTGAAATTGTTTATGCATCTGAATTAATGCGGGAATCATGAAACATTTTCAAATAATTTCCATATCAACTTATACAGCAAACACAAAATTGGAAGATGTGCATGGAGTCAGAGATTACTCAGAATAGTAATGCTTTTAAATTGAACTCAGCACAACAACATCTGACTTTACTGATAATCCAAGAGGCCAGAAGCCTAAATAACCTTCAAACAACCCCAGTAAATTTTAAAATCAATAATAAGTGAGTGAGTGAGTGGCTATAAGCCAAAGCAGCTTGTAACATGGTCCTTCCAAAAATGCAAAACAATAACGACAACATTATCCCAATACAATAACATTATCCCATCCACCAAAACAATGGACAGCATTGCTGCTCCACACTCAGGCGGCAACCCACTCATTCTAAAGATATCACACGTAGACCTGCTCCACAGTGCTAACAAACGCACACTCACATTTCAAGAGGGGTTTATTATAATCAGTATCCCCTTGATGGGTGCGTAGACATAAAATGTTATTTCAAAACACATCTTACTGTATCACAGATGCATCTTCTAATTTTTTAAGGACACTTTCATCCTCATGTTAACGCACACGCAGTTTCAACTCCGTGTGTTATCACTTCAGTCAAATGGGTTTTTAAAGTGCCCATGGCATGCTTGTCTGTGTTTTCTGACCTGTCTACAATGTTACAGTACAGCAGCAATGAATTATCTTAAATGTGACTGAAAGCTTGAAAACTGAGGTGTATGTATGTTGTTATGCAGAAGCAACTTGGTTTATACAAGTCTCATAAACACTCACTGGTGACTGACTGTTTTTCCAACTGTGTAAAGTCTTATGCAATAGTTCACGGATTTCCTTGAATGGGCAAATTCTCCTGGTCATGCACGTTCATGCGAGCTTGCCTGACATCCATCAATGCCATACTGAAAGCGGGATTTTTCGACTGCACACGGTTTTGTGGATATACTTTACCTCCTGCTGCTTGCACTGTGACCAGGGGATGTGAAGAAAAATATAGGGCCTGAGGTTACTGCATATCCGGGAGTGTTCCTGTACAGGGATTTGTTGTTTTACCTGAACGGGTCTAATGTGACGTGAATGGAGCGGCTGGAAACCTCCAGGCAGCCAGGCAGTGAAGCACCTTGAGGCAGTGAATGATGAGCTCATCAATGCTGGATTCCCCCAGAGCACAGTACCTGTTTGTTTTGATTGCTTGAGGCCAGTGCGTCTGCTGCATGTGATGTGCTGCGGGTTAGCGAGAGGATTCTAACAGTCCGTGATATTATTGCACCACCACCTGTTGGAAGTAATTTCACTACTTTGGGACTGAATGTGGTCGTGTGGGGGAAGACGCAGTGACCACTGGATGGCTTTACCAACCCTGAAGTTTCCACTACTCGGTGTGATGTAATGGTAAGTTTTTAAAAAAACCACACACGTCGCATGCCTCTTAATGCTTTGTTTCTGTAGAGAAAATTGTTGTAAGGCTGGAGAAGTTACCATGTTTGCATTATGCCAGTTAAAATATGGGGTTTCTCATTTACCCACTTTTTTTAGACTCTCTTTTCATCAGTACATATACAATTGTTTACCTATTTATTGAGGAGAAATTCAAATTGATTAATGCTGTTGCAGTTCATCATGCTGTCTGGCTCAAACATGTCGGGATAGGATTTGAGGTACTGTCACTGTCGAAAACGTAGCTTATTAGTCAGTTTTTTCTTGTTGTTTTGTTTTGTTTATGAGTGGTCGTAGCTTCCTGACCAGCAACAGGAGTTGGGTTTTATCGTTCTGAAATAATTTGACTATTTGCAGTTATAATGGGTGCAAAGCTAATGTAGAGGTACCCAAGGTTAAAAATTAAAATACTGGAAATGAGCATGCCATGGGCTCTTTAAGAGGATCAATGGAACACTACAATGCTCCAAAATATCGAATACACTTATTAGATTGAGGATGTTCTTGGGTTTTGGGAAAGTGAGCTAGTCAGATACTCACAGTTAGATAACGAGCATCCAGGTCCACCTTCTTCTCCAACTCGGACAGCAGCTCCTGGTGGAAAGATTTCAACTGGGGAGAAAGCACAAAAGAACCTCAATAACATGCTCAAATCATTTATGCATGCTGCATACAGAAGTGTTGTAAGCATTTTCTAAGTTGTTTACGATACTGTAGATTAATAAGCCATTAAATTATGTTTTCCTCTTTAACTCAGTCACTGAAAACATGTTTCTCATATTGTCTGTGAGGCCTGTCACAGCTTGTCTCTGTTCACTACGTTACCAATTCAGTGCTATCTGACACAATATTCAGTCGCTAGACTGTAAACTGATGAGACCTGATGAATTGGTATAGAGTAAAACACAGGAAGGCTTACGTACATTTGGGCAGTCAGTACTGAATGATGTCAAAAGATGTGAACCTATCATTTAGCTATCTGTGGGTGCTCAAACTGCAGGGAAACACGGCACCAATGTCCAGACCTTTCACTTTATTAGATGCACGGGTATACAATTATTATTGAGTGCAGATAATTTTTCAAACAAGCATGTTATCCAGAATGCCTTACTGTTCAATTAGCACACTTCCCACCACTGTGTTAACAGCTTGAATCTATATGAGCTCAGCATGTCGGTACATTCAATATGAGTTCATCTGCCCATGGGGGCTTAAGAGCTCAGGGACTAATTTGTGTCATGGCTGGGCAGATTTGCTCAGGAGCATCATGCAGTAGAGACATACTGCCAATTTAAAATGTATCACTGTTGCTATAATTTGTTGTTGTATTTAAATTCTTACTAAAATGTTACATTGTAAGCCTTGAAAGTGCTGTAGTGTTGAAATGCACAGCTAAAAACACTGAGCTTAGAATACCAACCATCTCCTCTAGCTGTACTTGGATCTGTCTGTGGACCTCAGCCATCTGGAACAGCACATCCCCTGTACAGAGAGAAGGGAAATGGGGAGAACACATGAACAACAGTCCAACAGCCTTTCTACAGCAGAAAAACTGAGAAAAAGAAGAGAAAAGAAAATCAGGAGAGAGAAACTGAGAGACCCCAGCGTGCAAAGCTCATGCAGTTATACACGACACGCAAACATCCAAGACAAGAGACCTGTAATTGGGACAATGAACATGATACAGGTTTGTTTCTGGTACAAGGTAACAGAAAATGAAACAAAAACAAGTAATGGCAACTGAGAAAGTAAAGTGAAAAATAAAACAAGCTGGAGGAGACAAAATGCTTAAAATTAAAATTTGGTTCTTCAGGCGTGTAAATACTGATATTTTGTGGAGACCAAACTTATTGCCTCTCTTTCTTTGATTAATACTAACATCAGGCAATGTGATTTCTAGAAGAAAAAACACCTCAAAGAAAGGTTAAAGTCTCCACATTAAAAGGAGTAGAAAAAGAAATAACCAAAAGGGAAGCGTTATGAAGGGTCATGCAGCTAGTGATATTGTTTTATTTTCATATACCTACAGGCTGCCGCTTCTGAATATGCAGTGCTTTGCCAAGAAAAGGAACACAAAGAGCTACATTGAGCGAAGGACACAAATACAAATAGAGACCTGGAAAGACAGTGTGAGATCTACTGTACATGTACAGAAAATGAGACACACTCATTACCCTGACCAAAAGTTCCAAAGCCCCTTAGATTTAGTTCTGTCTGACATATGGGATGTTTACTTGTTTGCCTGGTGAAAACTATTGATATCAGATAGCACTGGCTTGTAAAGTTCACATTCAAGAAACTGAATTGTAATAGACTGGCAACCTGTCCAGGGTGGACCCCGCCTCTCGCCTAGTGTCAGCTGGGATTGGCTCCAGCCCCCGTGATCCTATTCAGGGTAAGCAGCATAGATAATGGATGGATTTATTAGCATAGCATTAGCATTACAGTCTCTTTCAAATTTTATTATAAGCATGCTTTAAAATAAAAAGCAGACCACTATTGTATCACTGACTTACTGCAAACATTAATACTGTATATGGTAAACCATTTGCATTTGTGTGTTTGAGTTATTTTTGGTCTCATTTCACACTCCTCTGCTGTGTCCTCTATTGAAAGCTGACCTGTAAGAGTATATACAGTATCCAAATGCTTTGTAAGTGAAACCAAAACCTCTGCTGATGCTGTTTCAGAAATTCAAATTTTAGACTTCACTAAAGGGCTCTGGAATGGTCTTTGTCCCAACACACAGCATGTACAGTGCAAATTGCTACAGACAAACAACACTGAAGTGACTGATGGAGTAGCAAAGGAAAAAAAAAAGCTGATTGTTGCTTCAGATTTGTAAAGGGGGAAGGTACAGTTAAGTACAGTAAAAAAAAAATGCAGAGCTGGCAAAGTGGTATATTCTATAAAATCAATCCAAAAATACATTTTTGTAGTGAAGTCAGTACCACTTCACTTTGGTCACCCTATTTAGCATTTATAGACAGTAAATAATACATTTAACAAATAGCATATAACAAACTACGTGCTTTCAATGACACTGAAGTATTTAATGATGTATAATAATTACAACTTGTCCTATGAAGAGATATTTAATATTGTTAGTGTTTTACTCCTTTGTCATTCATCATCTAGTTATAAAACAGCCTCCACTTCTAGGTGCCCACAGTAGATGTTATAGTTGTTGACATTACAATTATGGCGTCTTTAACTATGAACACCGAAACAAATAATGACTAAGTAGTATAATGATATTTCAACCATCTTGCCAACTTCAACAAAGCCCATGGTCCAACCTGTCTGTGGATCTTGTGGCTCACAGGAGCAGAAAAGCAGGCCAAAGCATCCTATCAGTTCCCAGCAGGCATCCTAAGCAGCTTACAGATACTCATCCCTGATCACAGCCCTTCAGGCTTAGAAACCCTGGTACTCCATCTGTGGCTTCATCTAGCTTGATCAATTAACAAATGAGCAGTCATCACTGTGCCGCTGAAATACACAAATGTTAAGTAAACTTGCAGTAGGGCAGGGTGTTTCCAAGAAGCCAGAAAGGTAATGAATAAATTAATCTTGAGACATCATCTTGTCATCTGCATTCCCCTGAACTAAGAGGACTGTTTCATTACTGCACAATGTCCAATGCCAACCAAAGCACAGAAAAAAAACAACTCACTTTGGAGATGCAAACAGTTACCATGGCAATTTATGATATCATATCACACCACAACAGTAACAAAAAACTGGACAGCAGCCTTCAGGGGAAGTTAGAATTCAATAAAAATCTATAGAGACATAATGTAGAAATTTTCAATGTGTTATCCAGTGTTATTGTTTCATACAGAACATATTTGTCAGGCATGAAACAACCTGTGAGGCTTGGTGTAAGAGCTGCAAGCCTGACAAGGATATCCGCATACCAGCCAAGAGAGTGACGTGACAAATAGGCCGATAGCCACAGTGACAAGCTCACAAACACTCACAGAAACATGCGCCTTGTTAGGAACAGATACACAACACACTCACAGTAAATAAACCCTCAAAGACTTGATTATTATTTTATCAATACTTCCCAGCTCTCTTCGACTGTGCCTGTGTCCCTGGCTGAGAGAACACAATAGTTCCATTGTAGGGAGGGGAGTTCTGGTTGATCTGCACCTGCAGCACAGCAACAAGCCACCACATGCCCGCTAGCTACTGAGTCAGAGACGAAAGCATGGCTGCAGAACTTGGGTACACATTAACAGACTGTCCCCTGACAAATGACATCAGGTTCTGTGGACTGCTTACTGACTGCTTGTGTAACAGCAGCAATACTACGCCCACACAGGTAGAGAAACAAAAAAGAAAGAAAGAATAAAAAAAACAAAAAAAAAAAACAATGTGGCAGTAAAAGTTTGCAATGCTGAACAGAAAAAAGGAGACAGAGATGGAGGGAGGGAGGGAATGGAGGTGGATGGAGAGATACTGAATCACTGGTGAAGGTCAAGCTGGATTCATTACGGGTTGTCATGGATAATGCTAGGGTCGTTGCCATGGGAGAAGTTGCTAGATGAGGGGCAGCGACTGAAAAGTGCTGTGTTACAAAACACTGTTCAAAAATTCTCCAACCTTACTATCAGCTATCATTACATCAGCATCTGTACTTCCCTGGAGAGGAAAGTATAGCGAGTCCACCTGGGGAGTCCGTGCACACTACAGTATGTGCATGTGTGTGTGTGAGCGAGCAGTGTGTGGGACTAAGGAGCACTGTGGTGTTAATACTTGCCTACCTGGCATGTTATTCACAAGGAAACAAACAAATGGGGTAGTATAATGGGGCAGCAGGACAACGTGCGAGACGTAGATAATAGCTGAGAGTCTGGGTGGCTGTGTGAGTGTAAAATGTATGTGTGTGTGTTTGGGTACATGTGTAAATCCAGTCTCTGTGAAACCACAATGTCTAAACACAGTTAATCTGGAACACACTCTCATAAACACACACTCATTTAGTAGTTCTGTAAACTGGATGATAAACTTAGTTTGACCTTTTTTTCCCGCTTTGCTTCACCCTCCCATAGGAAACAAAGACTGGTATGACAGAATGGAAGCACAGCTATCACAGCTGTTCAACCTACTAGCCTAATATAAGTTTGTCCAGCAATGGTGTCATGCATTTAGGCCATAATCAAGGCTTTAAATGTATTGTGTGACTGCTAAAAAGAAGTGGGCCAAAGAGTAGTTGCAGGTAATCTTAAACATTTAGGTTTCAGGTAGGTGGTTGTGCACTTTCTACTGGTTAACACTGTATATATAGCAAATCCAAACCATCTGGTGTCCATGAGTCAAAATTCTGGCCTCTTTTAAAGCTGCTGCTCCACTTACCTTAAACACGCAATGCATTTTATAATAGCTGAATTGTAATAGTGAGGTTTTCAGTATGTATTCCAAGATAAAACTATATTTCTGCAGTCACTGCAGACTTTGAACATCTTATCATTTTGACAAAGGTATTTTTTTAATAGTAGTTTAAGTTGGGTAACAGCATATCCCACAAATCTCAGCCACATAATGGTTGTCAAACGAGCAGTTTCTGAAAGCTAACAAAATAATTAACTGTTTTAAAGTTGGTAACACAGAAAACCCAGGTATCATATTCAAGTTTATCAGTAATAAGGATGAAAAAAAGAACTGGAAAAAGCTAATACTAAGCAAATAAAACACACATTTTCTGAAGGTGATAATTCTGTCCTGCATAGCTGAAATGTCTTAAACTGCTGCATGTTACCCTCTACAGTACTGCTGACTGGTCCATAACATTTTTCAGCTGGCTGGTCCATTTATCATATTGCTGAGGTTGTGAGATATAATCTGGATGGGCAAGGCTAGTTATTACTACAACATGCACATAATTAAAACAATTAGTAATGAATGCATTGTGGTAAGGTTGGCTTGGAACAAGGCTAAACACCACAGTCAATGTCATGCTAATGTGACTGTGCGATTTAACTGGTATGTTCACATTGTGGATGGTTTATGCAATATGCATTCTGTAGGTGTGTGGGTTTTATATCTTGTCTTTGATGACTTTGCAGGAACCCCTGAAGTGTGCACACATGCAGACGGTATTAGGGCTATACAATAATGAGCAATTTCCTCTGAATGTTAGTTGTGATACGAACTACAATATTTGGAGAACATTTCTTAATTAAACACAATTCAATTATACCTGAAACTACATTAATAAGTAAAATACTTTTAAATGGAGCAAACAGGAACTAGGTGTTAGTTTAAGCCTTCATTTTATTAGATATGCAAGCTGATTTGCTAGATAGGGGCTTTGGGCAGTGGTAGAATACCACAGACCTCAACAGCTGTGTGAAACATCATCCAGTCTACTATTATCCCTTCTCTAGTGCATAAGCAGATTTGAATACACACCGTCTGTGATTAGAGACCCTGGTTTCTTAGGGCTAACTTGTTGTATCAAATAACACACACAG